CACGCCCCTGCAGAACGGGGGGACAGAAAAGGTGCTTGCTGCCACTGGAGAAAGACTTGGGGACATTTCTGCATGCAGTTGTTATACTAAGCAATAGAAGGGTGAATGTGAAGTAACATCAACCTCTAAAGGCATGTTAAACAAAACCAGTTTGTAAACAACTGAAATACAGAATATGATGTAGCTTACCTGATAGAAAAGGAGTGGGATTTGGCTTTTAATACCTTGTTTCTCCTGATCAAAACTTGTTTTTTTGGAGCTGCTAGATCTGTCTTTTGTCTCATTGATCAGCAGAAAACTTGAACAGAGAGGTGCATGCAAGTAATTTTATTTTGAAAGGCAGAAAGTGCTGTATGTTCTTGGTGTCTGTTTGCTACAAATAAAGAAAATTACAGGTGTACAGTTATTAAGCTAATTGTAACACAGTGATAACTTGTAGGACAGTTCAGATCTGTCTTGTAGGTCAGTTTTCAAGTAATCCTACAGAGATCTGTGAAGCAGTGATGCCCAATGGCAGATACTTGAAAGAATAGCTTTTCAATGTATATCTGCATAAAGCCATTGTTTTTTTCATTGAGATACATCATTAAACATGTTTTTAATTAAGGAGACATTTTTTAAATGTTTGAAGATTCTCTTGAGGCATCTTTTAAAGTGTAACTATTCTGTCCTCAGGAGATTCTAAAGCAACAGAGTCTACGGATGTTTGAGCTGGTCCAGAAGCATCCACCTCACTGGCCTCCTTTCATACCTCCAACAAAGCCAGAAGTGACAACCACAGGAGCAGGTGCAGTACTGACTGACAGTCTGATGTGCAGCAGAATGTTCCTCATTAGCAAACAGAAGAATAATCACAGGTGGAATAATTCTGGATTCCTATGTGTGAAGCAATCACCATGTGATTAAATGCCTGTTGTACAGAATATCAGTTACCCAAACAGGGCACATAACATTTGCTAGCACGTATAGTTATCTTTTTTTTAATTAATCTTACAAAATACTTTGAAGGACACATTCCAGAAAAATGTGGGGTTTTGATGTGTTTAAGTAAAAAAAATCAGGCATGTCTTTAGATTCTAAATTGTTGCTTGGGTTTTTGTTGTTTATTTTTTTTTCCAGAACTCATTGAATCTACTGACAAACTATTTGAATTGGAAGAAGAATTTGAAATCCTGAGTGTATGAAGGAAACTGTGGTGACCCTTCTGAGTATTGAGCATATTTGCTAATATTATTGCATTGACTTAAACAGCCATGTTAGCCCCAAAGTGCCTGAAATTACAGATAGCAGAGCACAAAAACCTCGTAGCATCCACAGCTCCAACAGGGACAGTTCCTGCTGTCACAGAGCTTACCCAGATGGAAAGGCAGTAAAAGATCATCTTATAAGACCCTTGAAAGGGAACGTCTTTAATGTGTCTTTCCTGAAGACAAATGGACCTCTCAGATTAAGGCAAAAATAAGTGTATCACTGGGCTGTATGTTTGGAGAAAGGGATAACCCCAATGGATATTTCTTGCTCTCATATAATGCAATAGCTTAGTTCTTAAAGCAAAACAGTCTTCAGTTAAGGAGGATGTTTACTTCTCTTCCCTCCTGTGGGCTGCTTCCTAGAAAAAATACATTGTCTTGTTTAAAAGATCGACTGGATCAGAAGAAAATTGTTTCCTTGTTAAATATTTTAACATGTATTTGAGCAACCACACTTTATTACAAAAATGTTTCTGTAAAAGGAACTATGTCTAATGTATACATTTTGCAATAGCCTTCCTGTTTCTGGGAAACCTCAAGAGGAACAGGAGACTCAAATAGTTGCTATAGATCACAACCACTGTTACAGTTATGATATATTTCACCTTGACCTTAAAATTCAGATCATTAAACACAGGCTGACTTTTCTTTTGGAGCTAAAATGAGTCAAAGGTGGTTTAACTGTACCTTATTTATTTTAAAAAAGATTTACACAAGTTTCTCTGTTACAGCACTTTATATGTGCATCTAATAAATTTCTTAAGCTTTTCATAGGTTGTATGCTGCTATATTTTGTTAATTTGTGTGAACTATAAACCAGGTTATCTTAAAACTTAATATATAGGCATATGCAAATTACTTAACTGTTGTTTTTTGACTTGATGCGTTTTGAAATGTGTTTTGGTAAAAGTGCCTTAATTCTACAGGTTTATCAGAACAGCCTGTGCAGTTTTCTTTCTAAGGCAGATTATCTCTTGAGCAGGTGTAAGGAAAACAGCTCAGAATAATTGAAGGCAAAGATCTTTTAATCCATCATAAAGTTCCTTTTTACTATCAGACAGTCCCCATTATGGTCATTTTGTCATGGCAGTGTACTGGACATGAATCACACCGTTTCATCTTCACTAATAAATGACAACATAGAGAAATACTGAACACTGTCTCCTCTCACTTGCAGTTCTTGATTAGGGCCACTGTGATTTCCAAGAGTACCAGATAATATTCCATCTTACTTGCCTTCAACATTTATTAACCAGTTTGGAAAATATACACTTAAAAAAAATGCATAGTTTATGGAGAGGGGAAGAAAAAGCTATTTTTTTCTAAACAGCTTTACTTCTTAATTAATACATGAAGTTATTGTTCATGTAACAGCAACTGTAGCCCTCTCCTCCCCACAGACAGAATAAAAATGAAGCCCTTCCTCTGAAATATTCAGTCCTGAGCAGTAACTGCTAAAAGAAAAAGGTGAAGCACCTAAGTTAAAAAATAAAAATAATTAAAATCAGTTAGTGGAATACAGCATGCTTGTTCCCCAACAGCTCTTAGCTGGTATGTAAACACTGTTCAGAGAAGAGGTTCTGGCCCTGCAGCCCTCCTGAAACAGTGTTCTTGGTGGGGTAAACAGATCTGTGAGAATAGGACTAATGGAAGAATGCCTGGTGCCTATCCCACCCAGGCACCTGACCGAGGATGGCTTATGTGTAACCAGTGTGGGAAAGTGTTGTTGAATGTGATGGAAATTTGGACATTGACAGCAGTAGAACCAGGTTCTTAAAACAGGATCTGCTCCCTAAAGACAGTGGTGCTTAAACTGCATAAGGCTCTGATTCAGGAAAAATGTATTAATTTTGTTTGCATGTGTCCATGTTAAAAAATAAAACCGAGTCCCTGTAGACACCACCTGATTGACACCCCTGCACCATGGCAGCCCAGTGGCTGAAAAATTCATGGTAGTTTGTCAGTTATTTGCACCAGTTTTCAAAAACTAGTAAGCTTCACTGTGTGAACACAGTGTTTTACAGTTTCATTTGCATAATCCAAGATGCAAATAGAATATGATCAGACTGTGCTAGGACAGCTAAGGAGTAGATTAGATATTATGCATAAAACAATTGCCACTCGGGAGCATTCAAATGCCTTAAACATATTTGCAAGATACAAACGAAGCAGTTGCTGATCTTTCATAACTGAGAACAAGATAAATGAAAGGGTAAGTTGTCCTTCACCAATTCCCTGCTCATCTCCAGTGGGGCTCAACTCTAGAACATGCAGAACTCTCTGACCCCATATTAGGAAGATAATACTACATATGCATGTAAATAATCATTAAAGGTAAAAATATCTGCTTAAAAGCAAGCATGTTCTGGCTAGCCCTAGAGCCTAGTAAAGAAATAATGCTTTAAAAGAACATCTCATTCTTGCATTAATAATAATTTGCTGAACAATTTTGTTTTTTAAGATTTTTTAAAGAAAGGTGATAGTGTATTTGCAAGGCACTTCTTTCAAATGTCCTAGAATGTCAATAAAAAAGGATTTAATATGCTTCACTCTAGAGGAGATGATAACAACTTCAGCGCAACTAAATGAATTAATTCTATATATTAGCATACCTTTTCCACGGCTTTCCCTCAAAATGTACAACAATAATACAATTAGTGGCACTTTTTTAATTATACCCTGAAAGGAAGTGTGACTAGTTAACAGTGCATACACCAGAAAAACAATTTTTAAAAGTAACAGAAATAAAGCCCAGAGGAAGAAGTGTACAATACATCGTGTCTGTGGGAGTAAAAAATGTACATCCCGTAACTGCTTACTTCAGTGTCTGCATAAGCTTGCAGGCTATCTAGCAAAGCCTCTACTCTTCAAATACATACATCATGAATAACTACAAAACAAGTGTGCCAGGGCTACCTCAGAAAGGAAATTCACATTCAGAGTAATGAAATGTTTCTGATGGCTGCACATCATTTGACTGCAAGAAGCACAGACCTCAAAGCAGACATTTTACCTGGAATATATTTCAATAGAAAGCTATGAAACATGCTGGAGGTGTTTTGGATTCATCTTTGCATCAAAAATTGCATTTTTCACTGGGGTGGCTCTTTACAGTCAGCTGTGGATGGGAGTCTGCATTGGAATTGATTGCCTGTCACTGAAGGAAAGAACATTCAGTCTGTTTAATAAAGCAAAGCAAAACAAATCTTCCTAAGAAGTCAGTTATCAACCATTAATGCTTAGTGTTTCTAAGTCACCTACAATACACTGATAAATTTTAGCTAGCTCTGTATTTCATAGAAGAATGAGCCTTCATTCCCTTACACTAGACAAAATACTGTTTGCAAAGTCACTAATAAAGCACAACTTCTGAGCAGTCTCTCTTGTTGATGACTGGCATATGCCTTGGCCAGAGGAGTGGTGTCATGTGAGACATCAGTTACTCTTTGGTGTGCATGAGGAAGTCACAGAGACTTTCTGAGGTAGCCATCAATAAGTGAAAACAACCCTATTGAAGTAAAAGCATAGCACCATGTTCCATTAATAAAAAAAAAAAAAAAAAGATGGTTCAGAGCACTGGTCTTTTCCTCCTCTGTATGCAGTCAAACTGCTGGACCTGGAACTTGATTTCTGTAGAACGCTGGCTGTCTTGATTCACCCATTAACCACACACACAACAGGTTTATGAATTTGTCCTTCTTCACATCAGTGATGTCCAGTCTTAGGTGGCAAAGACTGTTAATACTACTGTGCTTGTGTTACTACAAGTTCTTCATGCACACTTGGCAACGGCTGACCCTGGTGCGAAGCTGTCCCGCTTTCAGAGTTTCCGAGGGAGGAGCACTGACAAACTGCTGTGACTGTTCAACAGTTGTCAGCCAGAAACTGTATTTGTTTGCGAAGTAATGGCATGTGCCCCTAGCACCGTTGCATTCAATGAATGGAGTAGCACGGAAATCCTCCAGGCAAGAGCCAGGTGAGACAAGGGACTGACCTCCACCTTCTGCACCGGCCGCAGTGTGCTGAAATGAAGAGGTTGATTTAAATGAGTACACAGGAACAGAATGGGAAGTAAACAGGAGTTGAAGAAGCAAAGGAATGTCCTTAGGCTGAATATACAACTCTGGAATAATGGAAAACTGGCTTTCCATTTGCAAGCTGGGAAAATTTGGACACAATAACACTGACTTCATAGTTTTCTAACAATCCTACACTAACTAGATTCTAGGAACGTGCAATAGAAAATGTTATTTTTCCACTGAGAAAGGGGATTAAGACAATGCTGTAGCTTAATTAGCATTTCCATATTTAAAGGTTTGAAGAACAATGACTGGCAATACAGAATTACTGCATCAATGTTACTACTGAACTTGAGCAGTGCAGGTGAGAAGGCCAGCTCAACATGAGCAAACTTTATCAGCGGGTCAGCTGATAAAGAAATGCACCAGGGCACGAAGCTACAGGGCTCTAGTTTCCTGTAAGCAACTCACACAACAGAGTCTCAGTCACCCAATCAAAGATAAGATCCAGAAATGTTTAAAGCTGCTTTTGCATGACCAGTAGCACCCTTACCATAAGGAAGGAGTATCCTATCCATAGGCTGCGCCAACCAAGCGGACACTGTGGGATGGTGATGTCCTGGCTGTGCACAGCCACAGCCTGGGAAGGTGCCTCGCAGACGGAGCAACGGCTGATATACTGTGGGATCTGAACACTGTCCACTGGCATCATGGGGATAGGAGCAGTGGTGGAGAGCCAGTAGGACTTGTCATTTCGACTGGCGTAATAGCACACTTCGTTGATGTTGCAGTAAATAAAAGGCATGGTGCTGAAGCGAGGCAAACACGAGCCAGCAAAACCTGGAAGCATTGGAGAAGAGGCTGTACCAAGCATCTGCCAAATGCTCCAGCTCATACACACCAGGCACAAGTGGCAGAGGATGGCATAAGTGACAGCATTCCCAGAACAGACCCTGGCCAAGCAGACTTCTACCATCTCTGCTACAACCTCATGCAGTACCAATGAAAATCGTCCATTTGAAATGGGATCTTGGCCTACATTCTTATGCCCAAGGGAATTCTTCCAACTCACCAAGATCCTGGTTGTGTGACTTTTCCTGCCCCTCCACGTACAATAAACTGTAGCCATCCCAGAGCTTATTCATTCCAATGGGACAAGGTGGGATTTGGTCCGACTGACTGTGCTTCACTAAAGTGTATCCAACACCCACGCTCCGACCCGGCATTCCCGGAAAACCAATTGAGCCCGGCTTTCCAGCAACACCTAGAAGACAGAAAAGGAGTCACTAACACACATCAAGGGCATCAGCTGGATCTCTGTACCTGGTTTTGGCATTGCTGTAATTATGTTTATGTCAGTCTCGTACCATGAGTAGCGCAAGTTTTGAGAGGTGTTATATGAATAGCTAGAATTACCAGTTCCAAAAGCAATCATTTCAAAGTAGCATGTAATTTCATTTTATTTTAATTTTCTCTCTTTACTCAACAACTCTGGTGCCAATCTGTTACCACATATATCAGAGTACAATAATTCTGAGGATCTCAAAGCATCAACCAAAACTGAATAAATTCATTTTTGCTACAGTGCTCTTCATGATGATATTCCTTTGAAAGGCCAAAAGTTGTACAACAAATCTGAGGCAGAATCCAAACATTCTCTCTCTCACTGTGCCTTTCCTCAACTATCCAGCCTTCACAGGTGTTTTCAATATGAATACCATTTCACTCTTTTAGATCATCAAGATGACTCCCACAAAATATTAGAACCAAAAGATGTTCAGAATTGTACCTAGGGAAACACCAGCAGTGACAGACAACAATGACACGTGACAATCTTCCTCAATGAAGATTAAATTTAATTCATGGCAGATACAAGACGTAAGATCGTGTACATCCCCTGATCTTCCAAGGTAATTGGATGGTGGGGAGGGTGTTTGCAGAACTGATTGCTTCTTTCTCATCTGTGCTCCCCACACCATAAAACTACCTTCAAATCCTTGTGGTCCTGGGGTGCCCGAAGGTCCTGGATCCCCAACTGCGCCAGGTGATCCAGGTAAACCATCACGTCCTTTCAAACCAGATCTTCCTGGCAGACCTTTTGCACCTGAAATTAAATACAATTATTACTATCATTATTTCCGCATACTAATGCCTGCAACCATACTCCAGAAGAGCAATGCATTGTCAGCAGCCACACTGACAGCTCACTCTTCAACAGCAGCAGTTAGAAGCAACTGCTTACAGGGATTCTACACAGTCTGACTGTGACAGGATCAAGAGCTGCAGCTCAAAATTAGACAAGGCTAAAAATGCAACACTGAGATCTGGGATAAGCTACTTTTTTTTAGCCTGAAGCCACATCAGACCTAAGATGTGGGTCTCAATTTGATGGCTGTGGAAGTCTGTGAACTCCTCCCATCTCTGTCTCGCAAGATTCCTGCCATTGTGAAAACAAGAATCCTCTAGAATAATGGTCCAGCTGTTATAAGCTGAAGAAAGTTGAGCTAACTTGCTGAAATTTTGCTTAAGACTTTAAGTCCCTTATTTTGTTTAACTTGGCCTTGATGTTCAGCCTAAACATTATGCAATACTAAAGCCACTGATCTGAACTAAATTAATCTTTCCCCTCCTCTCCCCAATGTCTGATGATGAGCATCTGACTGACAAATCTTTAAAAAGTCTAAGGGCAGTGGGTTGCACAGAGCTAGAGAACCAGCATGTGATCAGTGATGTGGGAGGTTTATGTGAGTATAAAGAAACATGTGACTGGGAAACAGATGGGTGTACATTTGCACAACTTTTGTAAAGATTAAGCATTAAAGATAACATAAATTGGGGTAATTTCCCAATGAACCTCTCTTTCCTCTGCTCTGCAGTGCCTGTTACCTGCTTGCCTGACCAGTATTAATAACAACTCTTAGCTTTTATTCCCTGCACATTCATTCCCTTTAAGAACAGGAAGCCAGGAACTTATACAGTTCTGTTCACTGTGATAGGAGTCAGGATAACAGTCCATGGTGCATGGACTGGTGCTAAGTGAGATGTTCCTGCTCTAGTTTTCATGGATAAAAGAGAATACTAACATTTTAAAATCACCTAAATGGCAGGAGTAAGAAAGGAATCACAGGCACTTGCTGGGCCTAGGAGAGCCAGCTGTTGCTTTGTTATATATGAACCACAGTGGGGCAGGCTCAAGTTTCCAGCACTCCTCCAGGGTCAGTATTTAATCAACAATTCAAATAATTCTCAGTGGTGAATCATTTTCATGACCACTCCACCTGCTAGTACCAGAGCTGGTATCAGCTACATCACAGGCTGCTACACCTGATTGTGGAAACCTAATTAAAAAACACTATAAAAGTGCATTAACAGAATTTTTCGAATACATTCTCATAATAACAAAACATGACATTTGTTATGTGTTTTGCTGGAAATACTTCCTTTATTAGAAAAACCTGTAAACCTTCCTAATGCATGTGAGAAAGCAGTGCTGTTCTTCCATAAGGTCAACATGTCAGTGACCTCAGTGTACTTTTTACCTGGTTTTCCCGCTGGGCCCTGAAATCCAGGATCTCCATCAAAGCCAGGGACACCATCAATGCCTGGCAGACCAGGTAAGCCTGCAGGGGCTGTGATTTCTTCTGGTTGTGGGGTTGTACCTGGAGCCCCTTGTTGGCCAGGGAGACCTGAACACAGTGCAAGTGACAGGGTAAGCACCCCACAAAAAACCCAAAAAACACAGTTTTGATGATAATACTGACACAAAGGAGACTGGGTATCTTTCTAAAAAATGTTATGTCAAGCTCTTTCTAATTTATTTAGATCTGTAAGAAGCTGAGTCCCCCAGCTAAGCCCCTTAAGAGAGCTGTGAAATTTTGTCCAGCCCAAACCACATGCAATAAAGTACAGCTTTTCAAATTCTCCAGAACTCACCTCGACGGCCCATTTCACCTTTCAGCCCAGGGTAGCCAGGATCCCCTGGAGGCCCATCTTTTCCTGGCATCCCCATAAGACCAGGCTCCCCTCTTATACCTGCAAAGATATACAGCTTAAGACCACAGGGGATAAGCAGAGTCCTGATTCTGTTCTACAGCTGGGGCACTAAGAAACACACAGATGGCAGCAATGGCAAAAGCAGCTCAGCTGGATGGAGAAGATCACAACCCTTAAGGAACTCTGTGCCCGATTTTGATGTTCAGAACAGCTGCAAAGCCTCAAGACAAGAATTTCCACTGCTACATAATCACATTTTATTGGGAGCATTCTTCCCCTTCCTCGGGTAACCCAAGGGAAGTGTCTGGGGAGTACACATCTTTTCTGTTTGGAATCCATCTTAATGCAGAGTACAGAGGCATGGGCATCTGCCAGTCTACAAAGACAGCATACAGGTCTTCACCTGGCAATGGTTCTCCATCCTTTCCTGGCTTTTGAGCTGTGCAGTTTCTTCAAAACCTTACTACTACAGTTCTTGTTTTTAGCTGCCCTCTAGTCGTCTTTGGCAGACACCGAAGAGAGAGCAACCTGCTCCCTACCTCAGCGCAGAACAAGAGGTCTTAACCCCTACAGTCCTCTTAGCCTCTTGCAGAGACCTAAATCCACCACACTATGCCTCTGAGTATATATGACAGGTGGGATGAAACAGGATCTCCATTCTTTGCCTAGACAGCACATGCAAGTGGGTAACTGTGGCCAACAAGCACAGCACCACTGCATATGGTCATCACCTGCCCAGGAAAAAAAATAAATTAAAAAATCATTAGGGACACACTGGAGAGCATGTGGTATAGCTGGCCTCACTTTTCTGCTTTTGGAGTCAGTAGGTAAAACCTGCATGGGCCAAAAGGGAACACTTGGACAAGAAACTGATGTGCTTACACCTGAACAAAGATTTGTTTCAAAGCATTTATCCTAAGCACAGGATAGACAAGGAAACAGCTGCTAAATCACACCCAGACCCCGTCAAGGCACTATTACCTTTGAATCCAGATGCTCCAGGGAGTCCAATTGGACCAGGGAGTCCCACATCACCCTTAATGCCTCGCAAGCCAGGAACACCAGGGAAACCTGGATTTCCTGTGTCACCTTGGTCAGAAGCTGGACCAGGGGGCCCTCGTGGTCCTGGAGGACCTGAAAGACCTGGAGGTAACAGGTGTAATCAGCACAATCCACTTCTCAGGCAAAGTAAATGCTGGGGCTATCCCCAGTGCATCTTTCTAGAGGACACTCATTGTTTGGGTGTCTATATTTTCAGGGTTCTCCTCCTCCTCCTGGAAAAGAACCAGATTCCAACTGCTTATATCCACTTAGGTCTTATAAACATTTAAGTCTTTTTAACCACAGTAATTTAGCTTCAAATTCTGGGCTTTAGCATAGCCCTTGCCCCACCTGGTAGCCAGGCTGGTGACTCAGACACTTCCTAGGAGGATGAGAGCAGTGACTGCAAATCCTTGGCCAGAGAAAGGCCTAGAGTCCCAGCCTCTCTGACAAGGCTGTGAGGTACTAAATAGGTACCAATGGCATCATGACAAATCCTTCCAACTGCACTTGGCTCTCAACCCTACGGCAAGTGCTTCTTATGTACCTCTAAGTATCAATGAAGCTTTGCTGCCTCCCAGCTCACATAGGATACTTGTAAACTTTACACAGAGCCTATGATTACAGCTGTGGAAACCACAGTCCAAAATGGAGCTGGTGTCCAAACCTAGACATACCGTGCTGGACTTAAGTACCCACCTTAGTGCCCAAGTCTGTCTTCAGTACCACAATAGGTGGAATAGCAGGAATTGAAAACAAATCTTCTCATTCTCAATCCTTGATCTAAAACCAAGGTTGTTGAAGTGATGGTACACATCCAAGTTGTTCCCTCTGAGAGCTCTTCAAAGGATGCACATAAAGAAACAGAAACCCCCTTAGGTCACTTTCCCAAAGAGACCTTTCTTCATACCTGAACTCCCATCAGTTCCTGGATGGCCAGCATCCCCAGGTCTCCCACGTATATCAGAAGGAAGAGAAACTCCAGGTGTTCCTGGCAAGCCAGGCAGTCCTACAGGTCCAGGTGGTCCTTGAATAAGAAATACAAAGTGAGAGAGTGTACCCAGAGCTCTTCAGTGATCTTCACAGACATGTACCATTTATATTGAGAACAAAGAGACACCTTAAATATATAAGCACATCACAGATTTAATATTTACTTGTCAAACTACCAACCACCTTTGTGGCTTTGGGAGCTCTCTTTGGTAACTCTGCTGACCATACAACCCATTAACCTGAGCTGCAATACACCCTGTTTCCAGAGCACCAATATTTACCCATGTCTCCTGATGAGCCCTTTGGTCCAGGGAATCCTAGAGCTCCTCTAGCCAAGCCTGGAGAACCTTCTTCACCCTTTGGACCTGGGAGACCTGCAGGGCCTTTCAGTCCAGCTTCACTCAGACCTAATTAAACAGGGTTAGCAAAGGTAAGAGAGCCTATTCATATTGCCTAACAGTAGTTAAATTATTACACAAACTGACTTGTAATAAAAAAATTAGACTGTTGGTCCATTTTCATGCCTAAAATGTCTGCCATAAATTTTAAGTGCTGCTTTACAAGATGACTGACTAAATCAGCCTCTTTGGAAAGGTCTTTCTCCACCTCTTTACAGTTAGTGTAACACTACTTTCAAACAGAACCACGTTCTATTTCATATGGTTAAAAATATGAAAAAATCCAGCAGAAGCTTGCAAAAAGCAGAATACAGATTCTAATCAACAAAATTAGCTTTTGATTTTACTGATGTCTTTCTTGAGCTCCATGTAATGGAGGGCTACGGAAAGCAGAAAGGAAATATGCCACCACTAAGCCCAACTCAAAGCAGGCATTTGATGCTGATCTGCTAAAATCAAGCATCCATTAGAAATGGAAACGTTTTATGATTTCATTCCATCAACTTTCCAGCAGTGACACAGTCCTCAAGGAGTTCAAGGACAACTATCACTAGAAAAACTTCTTCACTCCACAGGCTGCATCTGATTCTTACTGGCATCAAAGATTAATTTGTTCATGCACATTCAGTGTCCTGAGATTTTTCTTCAGGTTATAATTAGATCCAGAACTGGGTGAAACAGGAGAATTTTGTAGGGAACACTGCTCTTATGACTGACAAGTATATGTATTTCCCCAGCTACAACACTTCTGTCACACATTTCCTTTACCTGGTGTTCCAGGAGATCCTTTTGTGCCTGGCAAGCCATTCAAACCATTTAAACCTGGAAATCCATGAAACCCTGAAGAGACATTGGGAACATATAAATTATCAAATAAGCAAATAATCTACTTAGGTGGAAATGCATAAGGTGTTTCATGGAGACAACAACGTGTATGAGAAACCTGACAGAAAGGGGAACCGAGGATGTAAAGTTTTCCTTCACACAGGCCCCCTTCATGGAAACTCCTCCCACTGCTCTCACTGGTTTTACCCTCAATGAACACCCATCAGTGATCCAAACCAAGTGAGAGCCTCTTTCCAACCACTCCTCTGCTCGTTTCAAGCAGCTGGTGTCTACTCTAACATTGCCAAGAAATGAACTGATTTCCCACGCACAGCTGTCCCACACATGAGTACTGCCTGCCTGCTGTGAAACTTGGCTGAAATACTGGTTTTCTGACCCAATCTCTGCCCCCATGTGCAGGCTCCAGATATACCTTTAGGTCCTGCTGTTCCTCGAGCTCCGGGGAATCCAACAGATCCTGGCTGCCCTGGAGGTCCTGGTGGCCCAGGGATTCCTCTCAGCCCAGCATTTCCAGGGACTCCTAAGAACAAGCATAAAAATGTTCCCATATTACACATCCAGGATGGAACAGCCCAAAGTTGCATCTTACAGCTTCTGTTCCCCCACTTAGCTCACAAGATGGGTGAATAAACTGCTATTTGAATAAAGCAAAACCAGATCCAAATCTCTCCTCAGTACCAACGCAACTACTACTAGCACAACACGTACCAAACTGTTAATTTGATAGGTTTTTTTTTTCCCAATCATAGCAGTGACACTCTTTATCATCCACCAAGTGGCATGCTGGAACAGTTAATAGACCAAATAACTAATAAAACTGTTTTTCAAATAAAATATTCAAAAAAACATACACTGTTATCTCATCTTTTCCTGATAACAATTTGAGAATCTACCTTCTATAGTTACACCACTACCCAAAGACACTTACCTTCTGGGTAAGTTTGGCTCTGGAGAGGAAATGGGCAGAAGTGCTGCAAAGCAAGATTTTAGAGCAGTCTTGCCCGTAAGCAGTAGCAACGCAGCTGCTACTGCTTGTATCTTATTGAGGTCCTCCCTATGTGTTAAATTAATTCCTTTAGGTTTCCACATGGTTGCTCCACAGGATCAGTCACGACAAGACAAGGTGACACCTCACACTAGTGCCAAAGAAAATTCCCATCTTCTTGTATAAGCCTCAGCTGAGACAGGCCAACCAGGGCGAGGCAAACAACAAGGTGAGGTTGTTGCACAGTCACATCATGAACTGCAGAACTTAGATGCCCAGTCCAGTACCTGCTGGTCCTTCTTGGCCAAGATCTCCTGGGCTGCCTTTGAGTCCATTCACCCCAGTGCTTCCTGGATAGCCTGGTTCACCCTTGGCTCCTTCTCTCCCTCTCTCTCCTGAAAGGATAAAACCAGACAGCATGCTGTAGCACAAGTCAAACTGGAAGAAGGCATGAAGAGAATAAGAAACACATTATATTGAGGCTGTAGCACTAGTGTCTGCTTAGCAATGATCAGGGCCCTGCACTGGACTGCCTAGATGCCAGTGCAAGTTCACAAGTCCCTCCTCAAGAGGTGAAGTGGGATCCAGCATTAGAATGGGGCTGTTCTCAGACATGTTAATTATCATCCAGATTTGTGCCCCACCTGGATTCCCTACTCCTCAAATCTCACTTCCAGGAGAGGACCAAAGTATGTAAATTTATATACTAAAAAATACCCCAATTGGGCAGTGCTATCCTGTTTCATGTCTAGAATTTTGTGTTCTTGAGTAATAAAAGGCTACTTTACCTGGGAAACCTGGGTCCCCTCGCTCTCCTTTTGCTCCAGCAACACCAGGAACGCCAACAGACTCTCCCTGGTCACCTGGAAAAGAAAGACAAGGTGGGGAGGCCATTCCCTAATTGACTATGGGGAGTAGTTTTCAGGGCTGCTCAATAGCCTTGTTAATGAAAATAAACCTTGCCTATACCTGAAATCTATGGAGGAAACAAAGACAATAGTAAGTGATGTACCTGAGCTTGAAAAAGGTTATAAATAGCAATAGATGCAAACTGACTCATGCAAATGCATGATAAGACAAATGCCTATGGGTAATTCCGCAACGTCTTGCCTGGGATACTTTTGACACAGAAATGACAAAGAAGGGGGCCCTTCATTCTGTCCAACATGTTTCACACAGTGCTGTGGCCAAACCTTCAAAGGACCATGAAGTATGTAGGCATTTGCCTTGGAACTGGTCTTCTCTGAATGAAGCCCCTTACAAGGGGACTTATACTTTGGAGCCACTCACTGAAGAGCAACAGATACTCCTAGAACACTACTCATTCATTTCAGTTATGAATATTATGACTGTGTGTACTGGAAGATCATATATACTATGAAAGATTTCTTACCCTTTGGACCAGGGAGGCCAATAGGTCCTGGGAATCCAAGTGTTCCTGCGATACCATCTGAACCCTGAAAAAAACCCAACAAAACAACCCAAAATTAGTCTTCGCTTTTTATTCTTGTTGTTCCAAGTTTGGGTCATGTGGGATAACAGACCACAAAGATGTAGGAAGAAATACTGTCCATAGTGTCATTCAACAGTATGAGCCAAACAGAAACAATCTGGAAGTTTTGAAAAGAAAGAGTCAACCAGCTTCTGCTGCTTTGCTACAGCAGTACCATACAGAAGAACACAGGATTTTCTTAAGAGCCGTTAGAGAAGATGAAGATACTTCAGAAGGTATTTACATCCATGTGCACCCTTCTGTCCTGGCAGCCCAGGCTGTCCAGGTGGACCAGGGAAGCCTGGGTCACCATGAAAACCCCTCTCTTTGCTTGCTGACCCAACTGGACCAGGGAGACCAGGCTGTCCACGGCTTCCTGGGACTCCTTTATCACCTGGATTATACAATAGAGTATAAATTCATTTCATAATACAGGCATTCAGCTCATTTGGGCCAACTGACCAGTTACTCAAAGCTCCCCTTAAAGAGGAAGGGATGGCATTAGCTCTGCAGAACAGAGCTTCAAAGGACATGTTTTTTTCTCAAAATTCGTATTTGCCATATGCAAATCTTGCTAGAGCATGAGTGACAGAATAGAAAACAGTAATACTGCAGGTGCTGTCAAAAGGACAGACCATACTCCATTGCGAATAAGCACAGTTACTGAGGAACTGATACTACAATGTTTTGAAGTACCTCTAGGTCCAGGGAATCCTCCAAGGCCAGCTAACCCAGGATCTCCTTTGTCTCCTTTGAATTTCAGTGCCTGTTCTGGAGGCCCAAGAACAGGAAGACCAGGTGGACCTACATCACCTCTATCACCTGAAGAAATAAGTAGTCAGGAAATCTTGCAAACTAATTAGAGGAAGGGCATAACACTAGAAGCTGGCAGATAAAAACAGAACTTTCTTGTTTCCTGGTGCAAATTTATCAGCAAGTGCTCAGCATCTTTGGCAACCAGGCTTCACATGGAGGAAAAGAACAAAGTATTTATAAGAAAGCATTTAGTACAGACATCTCACACCTCCGAAGTCCCCCTGCTGCACAGCCAGCAAAAGGTTTTCAGTTGCTTCTCACCTTTTTGACCTTGGAGTCCCACAGCTCCAGGGATCCCTTTTCCTCCAGCTGTGCCAGGAGTTCCTTTAAACCCATTCACCCCAGGGACACCAGACAAGCCTGGCATGCCAGGGAAACCAAGCAGGCCAGGAGACCCTTTCTCGCCTGTTTAGAAAAGTTGAGAAACAGAAAGGGAAAATGAGTCTCTCTGGCACATTGCACTACCTTGCTGGCAGGCAGAGGCTGCATGGATCAACCACTCAAACCCAAACTCCATGGTGCAAGCACAGCCACTTCTCTCATGGGTCTCTAACTCATGACACTTTCAACCAGCACTTTTCAGTTCACCTTTGAGAGCCTGGTCCTGCTTCCACTGGAGAGCAAAATCCAATCCACTTCCAAGAGAGCAACATGCAGTGTCGTAGCTCTATTGCTCTCCACATAAAGTAACACTGAATTCTCCAAATAATCTGTTATTGTATTGGTGCCAATAACCAAAAAGATTGTAAATTTTTACTTCCCATTTGGTTTGTGCATTATTCTCTCCCTTATATAAATCTAATTCACTGTTCCTCATTTCTTCCATTTCTTGTCTTTCTATCTTGATTTACATGATCCTTTGCCTATAATGGCCCAAGTTCTTTCAGATGGATCCCCTTATGACCACAATTTGATAATTAAATCCATTTATTTGTAATTCATAACTCAGCAGCAAAACAAATACATTCCAACACTAGTTGGGAATTCATTCTCTTCTGACAAGTTGGGTCTAAAAATTGGTATTAACAAGGTTATTGTTTTGTGGACACAGTAATCTCAGACTGTTCCCCAAGTGGAACACATACCTTTTGGCCCTGAGAAACCTGGACGTCCATCTTGACCAAAAGGCCCTGGTGGCCCTAAGAATCCTCTTTCCCCAGGAGATCCTGGAGCACCATCAAGACCTGGGAAGCCTTTCATACCAGCAGGGCCTTGTGGACCTACATCCCCAGTCAAGCCTTTGACTCCAGGAAGTCCTGAATCAATACAAGAAAGAACTCAATTGATTATGTCACACAAACACTAGAACTATTTGTGGGCAGTTTCCCAGATTCTTTAAACACAGCATTGTTTTTTAACATGACAAATGAACCTTATGGCACATGCAGCCTACTAGAAGGCATAAAGCTTAGAAATGCAAAAGCATTAGTCATCTAATACAATACCTATGAAGAGGGTTACTGCCTACATCACTACACAACTGGCAAGAGTGAAACCCCTTATGATGTATCCATGATGGTATCCTTTACCATACACTAACCTGTAGTGCACCAGTCTTACCTTTATCATCAAGGCAGTCAAACCAGAATGAGGAGCATCATTAATGCCAGCTTCTGCTACCTACCTCATCCTCTGGGTGAACCAGAGATCAAATAGAGAGGCTTGTTTTTACAAGTTTCTTTTCCACCCTGGTAGTTTAAATGTGTTACTACTCAAGAGCAAATTGCTCACTAGGGGAATGAGCTTCTGATTGTGCTGTCACGAAACCAACTTCATATGCATTGTTTTGCCTCTAAATGTTTCAGAATGTTTCCATCTGAAGCTTTGTAATGGTTTACAATTTTAAATAAAGGCTCAAACCATTGAAAACAGAAGGCTCAGATCCGAAGAGAGGAAGAGAAATTGCGTGGCTTCTCAAAAAAGGCACTTGCAGCAGTGGCACCCAATATACAAGCTTTGTTATATTCAGGGCTTACATGTGTTAAGCTACAACCCAGTATTTTTTAAAGCAAAAGATGAAATGGCTGCTTTATTTAAGAGGACAGAGAAAACATACAGACTTAAAATCTGTACATATTAAGGACTTCCTTATAGGCTTCAGGCTTTGTTACTATCTGAGCATTCTCACTACAATGGTTCTCTGCCTTCTGGTTTGATTAGCAATAATAAGGGGTATCACCTGTAGTCAATGCAATTCTTGTAGCATTAAAAGCTAGGCCGTTAGTCCATGGGCTTTTGTGCTACACTGCATTTTCTCACCTTGACAGCCTATGTGAAGAACCCATAACCAAACAGTGACATCAGAAATGGAGAGTTGATGATAAATGGAATAGAAACATGGTGAAGGAAAAAACAGACAAAAAATGTAAACAGAAGGAATAAGGGTACAAAAGAAACTAATGATTCAGAGAGACTACAGCTTCAAAAATGTAATCATCTGGAGCTTTGTAAAAACAGTTCAAGGAAAGTAATATTAAAACAACAGAGAGGCAAAAGCAATGTTCATGTCAATTATTTAAAAAAAAAAAAAAAAAAAAAGCTTTAAAAATGCTGTGATTTAAATCTCAACCATTATTGCTTTCATTCATTTGTGGTCACTGTGCTCCAGCGCTGTGATTCTGCATGTCTGAACAGATGAGTTATGTCACAGACTGTTCTCTACTTGTTGCTCACTGCTTGGTTCTCAAGTTTTGCATATACAGTTATCATTAAACACTTCAGTCAGTGCAGCTTGAAAGATAATACTGTACTCAAGCTGTGGGTTTTTTTCCTCCCTTAATGTGAAGGGAAATAAATTATCTTCCACCCCAGTGAAGAGAAAGAGAAGAGTGAAGCACTTGCTCTGAGAAAGCCAGCAATTTTTCAATCTATTGAACTCGCATTTCAAGCAACGTCATACACTAGAAATTAATCACCATAAAAATGTGAAATGAGGATTAACCAATGGTACAGCTAGCGTGTAAGAGCAGAGATGCTGAAAATATCAATATTTTCAAGATACTTTATCCTGTGTTTCTGCTATACTTCTTACAGCCTTGGGGTCCTGGCAGGCAGGAGTTGTCCAGCAGTCAGAGGCAAAAGGCTCAATTCTGCACTGTCACCCCTAACCAGAGGTAGGAGCTCACTCCTAGCAAACGCCAAATCTCTCCCAACACCTCCTCCACATTTCATCGTTCAGCTTTGCTACTTGACTTCATTTGATGACATTACATACCTGGTGCTCCTGCAAGGCCAACTGGCCCCAAGGGTCCTGGTTTTCCCTTAATGCCAAAAGGACCTCCAGGACCAGGAGGTCCCCGCAATCCAGGGACACCCGAATATCCTGGATTGCCCTGTTCGCCTTTAATACCTAGGAGGCCTGGTCTTCCATCTAACCCTGGGAACAGAGAGGTGGCAGATTTCAGAACAATTAAAACAAAATTCACACTTCTAATTGCAAAAATATTTTTAATGAAAGCCTTTGAGTTGCATTAGATTGTAAGAGAGAACCAGCAAATGGCCACATGTCAGCAGCTCAGAGGACTGCTAACAAAGTACCTTAAAGAGATTGGAAAGGTGAAAGGTTTTTGAAAGAGAAATAGTTTTATATTCCCAGATACAAGCTGTATCAGTGCTTACCTTTTGGTCCTGGAAATCCAAGATCACCTGTAAGCCCTTTATCACCTGGGAGTCCAGGTCGGCCACGCTCTCCCAGGGCTCCACTCTCAGCACCAAATACATCTCCAGGAGCTCCTTTCATTCCAGCTAAGCCTGAAGCACCCATTTTCCCAGGCAAACCATCTGTTCCATCCAGTCCTGGAAGGCCTTGTGATCCTTGCTCTCCTCGAGGCCCAGGGAAGCCTTAAAGAGAAAAACAATAAATGTCACTCAGCAGGGTACAGAATATCTGCTTCCAATAGCATCTCTAACAAAATCAACATTAAAAAAAATATTCCATGCAAGAAAAAGTAATTTGGAAAGTTGCAAAATGTTTCAGTACTGAATTAGAAACAGTAACTGGTGACAGCCAGTGATGAAACAGTTTAAAACAGTTAAAATGTTATTTCATTTAAAAAAATAATTATTTATATATATGCACCAGGCAGAAAAGTGGTCTAGAAGGTTGGACAACAAATTTGATAAAACATTGTATGCATTAATCAGACAATAAAAACAACTCCAGTAACTTCCCTCTTACCAGGTTCTCCTTGCAAGCCTACTACGCCTGCAGACCCTGGCTGTCCCTTTGACCCATGTAATCCAGATTGGCCTGGCATGCCAGGAAAGCCTTTGCTGCCTTTTGGACCTAAGGATAAATATATATTAATAAATAATATTAATGAACAAATAATGGAAGACAAAAACACAATCAAATCTTTTCTGCAAAGCTAGTGCTGAAAACACTTGCTAGATACACAATTCAAGCTAAACAAAGTCTCAAAGCTATAGCTGCTTCATCAGCTATATAAACACAGGTGGAGAGGGTTTGTGTTCAGAGGCTACTTGAAAGGGAAAAAATGGTCCAGTCGTGATCTTCCTCGGGATTTAAACCTAGAAAAAAACCCCAAAAAACATTGTTCTGCCAGTTCATTCTCTGGAATTATTATGAACTGGAGGAGATTAATTAGCAGGTATTATAATCATTTGGGAATAAGTGCTTCTTGGTAGTCAGCCAGAGCATTACAACCAGCTTGTCTCCCTACCTGGCAATCCTGGAAAGCCGGGAGTCCCTGGGGGCCCATATGCTCCAGGAACTATGCAGGGCAAGGTGATACCTAAAACAAAGAAACACCGAGGCTACACACAGCCCACTTCATGGACATGATGCAAAGAGGAATACTTAGTATCCTCATGTTTTTCACAGGATATAGAATAAGAGGCAGTGACTGAATTAGGCACATCAAACATTGCTGGCATCCCAAATAGGTGATATTAAAATAAAGGCATTTAGAACCTGGTGATTGTTTAACCTCATCCCTACTACTGAGCTGCATGACCAGTGAAAGGTATCAACTACTGCCATGAAGTACTTGCAGCATGGTACCCACAGCTTGTACTCAGAAACTGGTCCTCCCTGTGGTAGCAGCTGTGCAACTGGGGCAGCAACTGGCATGGAAAAGGAAGTTTAATTACTAATGTTGCAGTCACATCACATGGCTTTAAGGACTGTCTTACGTGAATTCTCCAAAAACAGCTCTGTACAATAGCATATTTTGTATTATTAGCCAGCAGTAAAATACTTCTACAATGGCTATTTCAGGTCAGGATAACTGAAATGCAAATAGGGCTGTTTCCTCATATGTTTTGCAAAATTATGTTAAGCAAGGCTTAGTGTAAGAATTACAAAACTTAGTATTCCCCAGCTGCTTAATACCCTACATTATCACAGTTTATACAAAAATATTCCAGTATCTAGGAAATAAAACAATTATGAAACCATTATGTCAGACATAAAAGTAAAATACAGGCAATTCCAACATTTTTGAGTAATCTTATAATACCGGATAAAATTAGTCTAGCTTTTTATAAAATACTGAGTTAGACTTTTTCACCCTGTTTTACCCACATGTGGCAGAAACTTGAGTAAAATTCCTCAGTGGTGTCTTTGATGTAACTTCAATAGGTCACAATCTCTTTTTAAATGTCTTTCCTCATTCTCACAATAAGGTCTTTCAGTCTGAGCAGCGTAAGAAATGATTATTTCTTTCACTCACCCACAGTTCTTTAATATTAGATGAAACTTACTACGTTTAGAAGTTTTCTTACACAGCTCTATGGAGGTGCAAACTGAATTGGCTAACAACTTATTCACACTTTCCCACATATTTTGACTACATATACTCTTCTACGAAGGACCATTCATTGTTAGCAAAGCTTTGATGCAGCACTCAATAAGCTGGCTTCTGATGTGCTCTACACAATATCTAGAGTTCACATCATGCACAGAGCATTTTACTTTTACTTATCTTACCATGCAATTTTAATTTGGTAGATTTTGTAGGAGATGATTTATCAAACAAAGATGTATGCATTCACAGCTATGAATTAGTAAAGCTTTTAGCATTTAGCATGTGACTTGAATTGGAAAAAAAGCTTATGCAGACTATTCCAGGGGGACATTAACACTAGCTGTCTCCTCACCCCGTAACAACAACCCAGCATGACACTGATGTGAGATAACATGCCACCCAGCATGTCTGTGCAACCTTCCCTGTGTTATTCTGGCCTAGCGCTCACCTCCCTCTGGGTTTAAGATTCCACTACCAACTCCTCATCCTGCAGTGGTCTTACCACCAAGGTTTTTCTAATTCAGAACATCAGTTTATCAGTCCAGAAACAATATGCAACAACATTATGTCTACAAATACATTATTGATTCTGCATTATTGATACTGACTGAATTACAAACCTAGAGGGCCAAGTATAGACAGAATGGAAAATACACTTAAAATCAGCAATGGTAAAGAAAAAGGACTGTTTCTCTTAAGCTACATTTAAATAGCTGACATGGAATCAAGACATTGGGACTAGCTCTGTGCAGTCATTTTTTTATGAAAACAACTTCCATCAACATTTAAACACATGATTTTCCATCCAACTCATTTTGAAGTCTGAGAATGAACATAAAACATCCTATGTGAAACCTTACCAAACCTGTATTTACTAACTTTATCACTTGTCATTATGATATGTACAATGACATATCAACTGAGCCAAACTCTAGTACCTCAGGGAAGGAATCAGCCCAGAGCTGGTTGCACCAGTTATACCTGAACTCCCTGCCTAACCATCATGACAATATATGTTTCACCAAAGCCTGTTCACACATACAATGTACTATAGTGTCTTCTTTAAAAAAATCTGGAGCTCTTCTTATTTCAATAAGAGTAATAGTTCTGAAAACTGATCCAGAAGTCTCAGATACCAATGAGTTACTGTTTTTATGTGGACAATGAAGTAAGGCTGTGCTTTTGAAAGACCTCATTTCATCAAGCTTCCTAACAACATCCTGCAATAGTCTGTGAGTAGCTCCATCCAACACTCCTTAAGATTCGAGAACTAACTGTTTGAGTATTTGTTGCTTATTATCTGTGTCCTCCTGAGCATGACAACTTGAGAAAGCTGTGACTGCTGCGTGAGTGCCATCTGACTTGTAGCAGCTTTTCACCTTTTCAAAACAACAGAAGACCCAGCAACACATACCTGCAGGGCCTGGAAGACCTGCCTGTCCTGGAAATCCATCCATTCCTGGGTCACCCGGTGGCCCACGAGCTCCACTAGGACCTGGATATCCAATGCCAGGAGAACCAGTTTCTCCACGATGGCCCTTGGAACCAGGTAATCCTGGCAGTCCTTTTTCACCCGGAAAACCTAGACCACCATCACCCTGTGAACAGCAAAGACAATTCCTGTTGAAAATCAAGGAGATGTAGGAAGAATATACACCATTATCATTTTAATAAATGCCTAAGACTTTGGTCAGTTCAGTGCAAGGTTCAGATGGACCTGGGAAGGTACATGAAAACCACTGAAAATTATCCATAATTGTTTCAAAAAGGAGGAAGACTCAGTGACTATTAAATATAATATTTTAAGCTGTATTTGCCAAAACTAAAATATTACATATTCTGAAAGACATTTAGTTTCTTTTTAATTCAAAGGATTCTGATGTGATTTTTTCTGTTCCAAGATTTGACTCAATTATGCCTACAGTGTCTTTTATCTTTCAGGACATAAGAAAAACAGCCTGGGTAGCCAGAGGCATAATGAGTGCCAATTATTAATCCTGACCAAGACCAATTTGTGCTCAGGGACTGTGAGGTTTTTATGCACTTTCTCTGCTCCTTACTCCAATTCCAAAGGACTGCTGCTAAAATTAATCTGAACTTACTGGAGGGCCTGGTGGACCTGGCAAGCCTGGAAGCCCATCCCTGCCAGGAGTTCCTGGGATGCCTGAAGGTCCTCTGGGTGCTGTTGCACCACGGTCACCACGTGCACCTTTGCCTGTTGCATAGGATGAATCCCCTTTTTCTCCCTTAAGACCTGGAAGACCTTGCTGACCAGCCAAAGCCTACAGAACAGAAGATTAAAAAACAGGAATACAAACAAGCAGATAAAAGGCTTTGCTTCTTAAAATGTCACATGAAGTCAGGTCACAATGACTGAAGCTGGAAAGAATCTCCAAAGGGTTTTTCTACTGTATACACTACAACAACAACAAAAAAAAAAACCCAAAACAAAAGAGGAGCTTTGATTATTTCCAAACGTTTCAGTTAAGTCACTACAGCTTTAGAGTGGCAAGACAAACCCTGGTATATAGCACTATAGTGACAGCAATCTTGGATGGCATCTGGGAAACATTACCTCACTCACCATACAAACGGGGCCCAAGTATTGAATCTTCTTCCCTATTACTTGGTGTGCTGCAGTTAGACACTGATAAAAGTACTCTGAAGACAAAAGACTTGTGGACTATGATTTTCAGAAGTAAATCTGTCGATGAGCAATGCTCAGCACTTTGGGAAATCCTGTTTGTTATGACTGCTGTTTCATAAAAAACACAGCTCAACTCTGGCTAATATATCTAGTGTACAGCAGCTGAGAAAGAGACTGCATCTATGGCACACAGTTTTTACAGCCATGAGCAATGATGCGGAAAGATCTCACCATTTGAATTTTTTTTCTTCTTTCCATGCAGATGTACCAGCCAGCCCTCACTTAAGAAGAACCCTGGGTTTAATCTATGTACGTTAAGAAGTCCTGGGATGAATAATTATTACTGCTTTTCTCTTGACTGCTAAACATCATGCAGTTCTCAGAAATTAAGAATAATTTATCCAGTTTTTTTATAGGTGATAACTTCTCTACTTTCAGCTTCTTTTCACACATAATTTTTTAAATATTTTTTTTAAATCCAAACAAGTAGAAGAAATGATGCTACGAATGTGTTCTGCTTTCACTACAATTAACACCAGCAATTGCTCTTGGGCAATTTTTCTACTTTTATTCATGACAGCGAATACAAATTCTTCCTGCCTTACCGGAGGGCCTTGTAGTCCTGGTGCACCCACAGTGCCTGGGTCTCCACCAATGCCCTTAATCCCAGGCAGACCAGGGTTTCCTGATGGTCCTGGTAGACCTGAGATTCCTTTTAGACCAGCTCTTGTAAATCCTCCATCACAAGCACAATCACCTGCCTCTCCTGGAAAATACAGTCAAAACTGAAAATTCATTTTAATTTGGATAAAGATCCTTTTCATTTGCAAGAGCTCCAAAAGCAGTATTTGACTGAATTAGGACAAAGCCATTCTCATATGAATTGACTTTGTCCCTGCTGTGCTCAGGTGTCAACTGTCAAGCTCAGGTTTGGTCCAGGATAATTTCTTCGCAAAGGCCATCACCAAATTACTAGGTGCAACACAAACCTCAGCACTTCTTGACTTCTTCCCAAAGTTTTAGACTCCTAAACTGATGGCTTTAGGACAGAAGTCTTATGGTTTTTTTTTAAAGAGATTGCTATATCTCAAAGAAAACAAATCCATGCTGTCATTCACAGTAGGTTACAATGATCCTCAGCTGGATATCTTTATATTTCCCTGAATCATAACTGGCCATGGATCCAAACAATCACAAAGCACAGTGATGTGCATCATGGCTTTAGCCACTGGTTCTTCCACACTCTAGGACCTAAATTATCCTAATTTTTAGCACAGAGGATAATAAAACTAAATTTCACTCTTGTTTACAGCTTATATTGCAAAAAGCAGTGAACAAGATTTTATTTCTACATCTCATTATGTCTTACGGCTTTAAAGTATAACTTACGCAGCTAATTTTCTGGGTATGAGATGTCTATCTGCTTATTTGCTTGAGAAGACTAAGAACTAGGATTTTTTTGGCAGTGCTGGGCACAACTCCCTCTAAACTGTAAAGGCTCTTGGCTCTAATCCATCTCAGCCTTCTGTGATTTTCCATAAAGACACTTCTACCTTATCCCTTAGGATATCACCCATGTGTCAATACCCTTCTGAGGCCCAATGACTGCTAAAAGGCTCTCCCAGAACAAGTGTCAATTACCTTTAAACCCCTTTGGACCCAAATCTCCTGGCAGCCCTCTTTGCCCAGGCTCCCCTGGGGCCCCAGTCCTTCCATCCAGGATCGTGTCTGGGCGGAATGAAGGGCCTATAGTGGAAAGAAGGGAAGCAAAAGCCGTAAGAAGGCCAGATTTGCAGCTCATTAATTGCTTACAATGTCAGTTATGCAACTGATAGAAATAGCACCGGATCAAACTACAACTGTGGAAGTTACAAGTAGATGTAACTTGGCTGAAATCACAGGCTGCAATCCTCTACCATGTGTTTGCTTCCAGCTTCTCAGACAGAAAAGCAAAAGCTCTCACAATATGGATGCAGTATGCGAACTGCTCTACCACTGCATTTTTTCAAACTTAACAGTTGGCCAAAGAACTAACGAAACTGCACACGGGTTGTATAAAGAAGGTCAAATGATTTAGTTCATGGCCAATGTGCCACTGCAGCTCTGCAAGAAGCTAAGGCTTGGATGGATAGAAGTTGAAGGGACAAATTAATGTACTGGTGATTGCGATGACTGGCTATTGTCCTTTTTGTTCGCACAGAAGCTATAACACACAAGCAGTGTTCTCTGCTGCTGCCGCTGGCATGGTACTCATCCCCAGGGCTACCTGCCCTCTGCAGAGCTCCTTGGCTTCTCACTATGTTGCTGCAGCTCAGGAAAGAAACTAAAATGGCAAAAAGGTTAAGCTGACTTTTCCTGTTTCTCACTTCATAACTGAAGTGTTATTTTCAACATCTCTCTATATGCTGAATAGAATGAAACATGAGCTGACAGAAACAGCAGTGGAAAGTGATCTAACTTAATCTAAAACTACTGTGTCTGAAAACCCTTCCCCTCAATGACAACAGTAAGATGGAGTGCTGACCAGCACCATCTGATGTTCCATGGAAACAAATTGCAACCATCAGCTAAAAAATGCTACAAGAGCTTTACAAACTTGGCAGAAGAATGAGCCAGATTTGACTAGCAAACAGTTATTGGTAAGAGAGCACTTATTTCTTCTCCACAGAAAATCATTCCATGCTCACTGGCACCATCACTGGAGTGTGCCCTGTTTTTGAAAAGCTAGCTCTCAAAAATAAAACAGGTTGTTTGAACTCAGTTTATGGCAGAAAGGTAAAACACAAGGTTTGTGTAAAATGAACACTTTTCATGTAATACTCAGTTTCTGAGGAAAACAAAACAATGCATAATTAATCCAATCAGGGCATCTGTACATACGAATATATAAAAATAAATTCATATTTCCTTAGTTCTAAAACCTCTCCCTATTTGACTCCTGGTAACCAAAATACCTACTCACAAGACTAGACATTTACCCCAGGTGCTCATAACGTCATGGTCAATTCTTCACATAATCCAGTAGGAGACTAGCTTAGAACTTCAAAGTCCTTTGTGTCATAAATTGTGTCTACAAAGCCTCATGCTTCAGTCTCTCAGGCTACCACATTAACATTAATTAGCTGCATTTGCTTACTTCAGAGGGGTGGCTGCTGATAGACATTTAAAGTTGTGAGTTACCATCACAGTGAGGTGCCAACTAAACATTTGAGACTGACAAATGAATAATCCTCACTGGCAAATAAATAAATAAATACATGATTATTTGTCTTGTTTCACTTGGAATTAGATGTTAAAAATATACATACGTGGTGAACCAGGCAATCCTGGTGCTCCTGGCAGACCTGGTAAACCCTCTCTGCCACGAGTGCCTGGTAATCCAATCGTTGCTCTTCCTGGTTCTCCCACTTCACCCTTCACACCTGGAATACCTGGAGACCCTCCAGGGCCCATTCCATCTAGACAACAATGACACAATGAGCAGCTCTCCAGCAACAAACACATTTGGGTATTTTTAATGTTGTGAAAATTACTGCTGTGCCCTGAACTGCAAACATGTTAACACAGAAACAATTTATAAGTGCATACAAAAGAAAACCTGCTAATAGGAGGCACCAACTGGCTCCCCCAAGTGCACACTCTTCATTCATCCAAAAAACTTCACAGGACTCCATTTAAGTCGCACTGATCAGACAATTTGCTAGGTAGGACTGGGGTTTCTTTATTTTCTGATTTCCTTTGAGTGAGGTAATTTCTTTAGCAGGTCCTAGTCTCTGGATCTTCGCAGCCCAGGACTTTACAGATTATATTCAAGTGAAATAGAAACTTTAAAGTGACATCTTTGATGGGACAAATGGGTTCCACCTACAGTGGGTTTAGCCAATATATTATCTCTCCATTTCAACCATGAAAAGTGGTTTTTAAAAATATCTTTGACAACATTTGCTATTCTTTAAAATGTAGGAAATGTTCTGCCAATCAACTAATTTGAAATAAAATGAGGTACTGGTTACTGTACCTCATAAAATGAGGTACGGTATCTTCATCACCTCCAGGCCACTATCCAGAGTCTTCTCACCAACACATACAGGGAACAGCCTGCTAAGGGCACTGCTAGGAGCTGCTTTACCTCTTTTCAGGCCTGGAAACCCTGGAGCTCCTGGAAGGCCTGGTAAACCACTGATCCCTTCATCTCCTGGAGGACCAGGTACTCCTGGGCTTCCAGGGTCACCTGGGGCACCTATTAGGCAAATAGAGAAAAAGAGGGAGGAAAATCTCATGAGAATTTCTGCTGAAATTCTGCCGAATTTCTCTTCAGTCAACTACCCTAGTGGCCATAGATCTCATTGACAGCCAAGGTTGCAAAGCCATTAGCATTAAGTCTGTTAGTCAATGTTAGAGGTTCTTTCAAACCTGACTGCAAGTGAAGGAGGAAGAACAGGAAAGACCACACAATCTGTTCCCTTCAGAGACTGTTCCTATCCAGGCTTCATTCAGCTGTGGCATTAAGCTCGTTCATTTAAACTCATAATACTCTTACCATATTGAACAACAAATAATAGCAGAATAACATTCAGAGTACCAATTTCCAAGCAACAAAAGGGAGTAATTTGTCCTTTTTTCTTACACTGAAGAAAGGCACACAGGTAGACACACAGCACTTCCCTCAGCTCACTCACAGACAGCCTCCCAGGCAGTACATTTCATTCTGCCTTGAAACATATTCTGCAACACGAGGATGAACGATTTATTGCAAACTCTGAAGTTATAAATATGGGACAAAATGTATCTGTATGCCAGTAATATAGAAAGGAAAAATAACAAGGATGGGTTAGACCCAGTACACAATGTAGAATAGTGGTAAAATATAGTACGAGGAAAGTTGGATCAGAAAAAGTGCTTAAGATTAGTTCCAAAATAAAATGGAAACATGTACCTGAAATGACTACACCTTCCCTGTCAATAACAATAGGAGGGCCTGGGGGACCAATGTCACCTAATTCACCCTGTTGAAGAAAAGGGATTCACACCACATTCAGTTGGGTGAACATTGTAAAGGTATTAAAAATATCTGAGTGTTCTTAGTTCAGCAACAATTTATTTTTACCCTTAACAATAAAGTAAATGAAGAACTGAGACATAATGAAAGTTATAGTGATACAGAGGTAAAGAAGAGATTTGATTGAGGCATTATTCATGCAAATATCTTTTAAAAAGCTATGCTTTCATATTTTCATGTGAGAAGTTACCTTCATGCCTTCAACTCCATCCAGTCCTGGATAGCCTGGAAGACCTGGATGACCCTGCAAAGTGCCACAGGGAAACACTGTTACACAGTGATACAATAAGACAAGTGGCATTATTTGTTAGCTGAGACATCTGCAGTGCCTGCACTTGAATCACAAACTCAGTTCACTGTCCTAATAAATATCTGCAGAAGAAATAAAGACAGACAAAAGTGATGGTATCAATTTCTCACCACTCAGTCTGGCACTGAATGCATCACAAACCCCATTGCCACTGCAGACAAAATGAGATATGCCAAGAGGTCTGGAGCAGGAAATCTTAACTTTAAAACCTGCCTGTAATTCTGAAGTCTTGGTCAGCTGTAGGCCCCAATATAGCCCATACACAATACTGTTGAGAAACTTGTCATAAAGGACTTTGTTTTAATCACATAACTTTAACATAGAGATATGAATCAGATTATATTGGAGATACCATCACCTTCAGCATGTCTTGAAAAAGACCTACATAAACCAAAATATGTGACTGAATTCCAGGCTGCAAAATTAAAACTGTATTTCTGAAAGTTGCTTACACTACTGTATCTACAAGTGGAAATGCTTTAACATGTTTTCAGCCACCTGATCACCTGGCCATTTCCACTCCCAAAAAGGGAAAAGTAAGACAGTTGATTGTTCCAGGATGGAATGTAAAATTTCCAGTCTGTGGAGATAGTCCTCTAAATATGTAGGGATAGCTAGAGAGACAGTTAAAAGAATCTAGAGTTCTGTGTGGACTTTCTAGTTAACTCTCCCTAATTCAGTGAGGTAGGTGCATTCATCCATCAGAATACTTGGAGCCATTAGATAAGGAAGTCAGTAGATCTTAAACAGTTAGATGGTTTCTGCAAGTGCAGCAAAAATTAAATTTCACCTTTCTCCCTGGAATCCCATCAGATCCATCCAGTCCCAAAAGACCCTAGAAAGAGCAAAAAAACCATTAACTTTCAGAGGCTCCATCTCAGTCTGTTCTTATTATATCAGACTCCAAATATCTCAGCATCAAAGAAGAAAATGTAAAATTTGCAAAAGGAGAAGCTACCGCTTATTTCTGTATCACCCCAAGATTAACAATCATAATGGAAAAAATTCAGCAGAATAACTGATAAAAGGAGTCTGATCTTCTCTAGTAGCTGTCTTTCTAATCAGCAGTTCAAGTTAAACAAGTAATGGTGTCTCAGTTTAATAGGAAGTTAGGCAGGTAGTTTGCAATTATAAGACCATAAAACCAAACGCAATCAAGATTTTCTATCTTGACAATTTATTCTGCACATGCAGAACAGTATTCTGTGGTCTTACTGTTGTGTATAAGGACATCTCTGCAGGGACATAGTGGTTTGAAGAATCTATGGCTGGCGTGTGACTGAGCATGCTGTTCACTACCATATTCATTGACTAGTTAGACCAACATCTATTGCCAGCTTGCCCATTTCTTCCCCAAATATCTATCTTTGTTCTCTCATAGCTGGTTCTGGCACTGGTTAAGAGCTCCCTAACACTCCTGCAAGGCCTCTTTAGTATCTTCATTTGACCTCCTGCAAGCTTCCTTTTCTGTGAAGTTTAAAAAAATGTATTAAGATATCCACTAATTACTTCTGTATTATTTTCTTGGAATGGCTTTTCTGTATACATCTTTCATCTCACCTTTAATCTGAGACTTTACTAAGGCAAGAACTATCTATTGGTTCTGTTGTTGTATGGCAATGGCTACTATGGAACCCAGTCCTATGTCCGAGACTCCTAAATGCATCTGATGATGAAAGACCCTTCATGTGTTTAAGAACAGGCATTTAAGGTTTCTGTAAAGTTACCTACCCTGCCACCAGGTAAGCCAGGCACACCTTTTTCTCCTTTTTCTCCAATACCTCCAAAGCCCTGAGGAAAAATGTCAACATTAAATCTGTGCTTAGTTTGGAACTGAACAGCACAGCTCAAAGACAAAAAGAGCACAAATCCACCTAGTAAAGTAAACAGTAAAACTGAGAGACAAGGGGAACTGACTGTTTCTTCTGGGACTCCTTTGCCCCAGAAAGATAGCCTGTATCAATCAGACTTGGCAGTATATGCAGTACATTATCTTTGTAATTTCCCATTACTTCCACCCATTTAAACCACAGCATAACTTCAGTAGCATATCCAAGTGAGCCCCTGCTATGAGCAGCAAAGTCCTGCAACTGCCACTCTGCATTGTATTCTACATCCAAAAAGTATTTCAAATCCTGTTTTTTAAACAGCAGCTCGAGTGCTCAGAGCACCCTTTTCTATAGCCTAAGAATGACTCAAAAATAGTGTTTTCATGCTCAACATTTGGAAATACTTGGTGGTTTTCCCGATCAGCAAGAAGTATCAAATCCAGAAATAGAACATCAGGATTAATTTCAGCAAGAGTTACAGTAGTTAAGCAATTTTCAAGCTTCAATCTTGAAATATCTTATGGTTGTGGTTAAGTTCACACATGTTCTACCCCAGCAGCTTCAATGGGCCTCTTGTGATGCATAAAGCTAAACATGCACATTATGGAACACGTCCAGAAGGGCTTATAACAAACTGTGCTCCATGTATAGGCTTTTATTGCATGTCTTTCTACTAAAAACATCTGTACATTGAAGAAAGTGGAAAACAATTTATCTTATTAGTCATTAGTTCCACAAAATATTTATTCCCTAAACTTATCAAAATAACCTGTGTTTACAAAAGCTTATAAGCTGGGAAATAGCTCTCTGGAATCCAGGTATAAATGGTTGTTCTTGATTCATACAGAGAAGATGCTACACATTTCTGAGTTTATGAGCACTAATGTTAAATAGACCATTTTAAAACTGGACAAATATAGACAAAAATCTGCATGTGTATGATGACCTTCAAGTAAAATGACAAAAATAGGTTTAGACATAATTAAAGGAAAAAAAAAGATATTTTAAAAATATGTCTACCACTCTGTAGGAGCTCAAGAAACACTGACATCAAGTGGCCATGTACAGGGTCTACTTGCAGATCTCTGCTGCAAACTGCAGACTACATGTACTGAAATGATGGCTACTTGGTAACATCTGCAGTAGAACAGCATTATCTTCTTTGTATTTCCAGGACAAAAGACCTATCAAGTTACAGTTACACTCCTCAAAAAGTCTTGTGGACATTTTAGTCTGTTTTTCAAAGTGATATCATGCCTAGGAACTCGTGTAGAGACCTTGTGAGCCATTCAGAGGTTGCTGAACCATCTAATCCGTGTTAGACACATTAAAAACTCTTCTCTGTCCTTACCGGCAGGCCAGGCAACCCTTTGTCTCCAGGGAATCCTCGAGGCCCTGGCTCACCCTGATAAGGGGCAGAGTAAACAGAATAAATTACTCTACCTATGAAAGCAAGACTTTCCCCAATCCACCCATCATGCTCTTGACTCCTAAAGTAAGCCCTTTCAATTTGTTTGTGGGCAAGTACACTTGATTTGTTTCATCATTAGCCAGATAAAGTGTCCCTCAGCACAGTGTCAGTGCATGCAACATACTGTCTGTGACCACTTCCCATGGCTTCAAAGACCAGTACTTGGGAACTGTTGTGCTGCTGTCCTCCACTGCTAGATGTCAATCTAGAAGCATTTCATATTGTCACTGTGGGACCTGAATACCTGCTCAGTATTTCACGGAAAGCAGTAAAATAGCCCATGATGAGATAGCATAATGTCTTCACAACCCTGCTTACAAATTCAAGAGTAAACCAAAAGAAATGGCATTTGTTTCAATCTCACCTCACACTAATGTACCTCCACCAAGTAAGGCAGAATCTCTCACCACTTAGGAAGGGGCTTAGGCAAGCTCGGACTGGTCTCACAAACCAGCCTGTATATGTCCCAGTTTAATTCAGTATGCCTAAATTTCATGCACTTAGACAATCTTAGAGCTACAAAGATGATTAAGGGAGTGGAACATCTCCCTTATGAGGAAAGGCTAAGGGAGCTGGGCCTCTTTAGCTTGGAGAAAAGGAGACTGAGGGGTGACCTCATCAATATTTACAAATATGTAAGGGGTGAGTGTCAGGGAGATGTAGTTAGGCTTTTCTCAGTGATGACCAGTGATAGGACAAGGGGTAATGGGTGCAAATTGGAGCATAGGAGGTTCAAGGTGAATATCCGAAAATTTTTTTTTACTGTGAGAGTGACAGAGCACTGGAACAGGCTGCCCAGGGAGGTTGTGGAGTCTCCTTCACTGGAGACATTCAAAACCCACCTGGATGCGTTCCTATGTGATGTACTCTAGGTGACCCTGCTCTGGCAGGGGGGGTTGGACTAGATGATCTTTCGAGGTCCCTTCCAACCCCTAGGATTCTATGATCTTTACCTCAAGGTCCATAAAGCTTTTATTAAAACACTGATGAACTAAATGTTATCTGAATAAAAACTGATAATAAGTGGTAACACAGGATAACAAAATAAAGGGAAAATACCTGATTATTTCAGAGCAGTGTGCATCAGAGCCAAAGCAAAAGAGTGGGAGCTTTTTATTTCTGTTTCTAAAAGGGTTTGAGTTTTTTGCTTTGGTTGACACAATTTCACAGGGCCACCAGAAACAAACTACAGTTGATTTATTGTTAGAATTAATGAAAACCTTTAAATAGCTTTCAGATTTCTCCTTCTGAGAGGTGTGCATCCTCCAGAGCTCCACAGTGTCCTGGAGTCAAGAATATTTTTCATTCAACAGCCATGTGGCAGATTAAACTAGTATAGAAAATAACTTTGATTTGGAAATACAACAGCCCTCACTATCCAGTAATTTCATTCAGCCTTGAATGAAGGCACATCGGGAGGGTTTGTAAACTGAATTCACAGACCTTTTCTCCTTGCTTCCCTTTTGGAAATCCCATGAATTCCAGTATTCCAGTGGATGGTGGGGGACCTGGAGGGCCAGGCAGGCCTACATCACCCTGTTGGCAAAAGAGGAAAATACTAACATGGGCAGAACATGTTTGATTGCTTATGAAAGTGGCTTGTAAATCAGAAAAACTCTACTTATATCCCACATAAATAATATCTATATGCTTGAATGATGGCACAGGAGTTTGGATATGGAAGTCAAAAGATCAGACTATAAATGAAGATTAAAAAAATGCATTAAATCTGTTTCCAGAGCTGTGGATATAAAACATGGCCAAAAAAAAAAAAAAAATCCAACAAGAAACCAAGAAACCCCAAACCACAAAACAACAGCAACACAAAAGCTCAGCTTTTGAAACAACACATTAGACAACGGCTATTGAAGGCCATTAAAACACTGTACTGAACCGAGATTTCCCCCTTTCCCCCCTCTTCATCCAGAAAAAGCTCTCATCCTGTTTTTTGTGTACCAATATATAAGGAACCAGCAAGACTCCTTAGTATTTGGACTGTCAATCAGGCAAAGAGAAGAAATTAGAGAGGAAAGTAAGAAAACGCTAGAATCTACCCATTTTCTAAAGGATCAAGCTACAACTGAATGCTAGAATATTATTTCTTGCTCTTTCCATAATAGAACACGTTTCACCTACCTTTTCTCCTTTCTCTCCTTGAAAGCCTAATCCCATGTTACCCTAGGAAAGAAAAAACAACAGCATCACTATCATCTAAGTCCACAGCACTGTTAAAAAAGTCAACACTCAGGTGTAGAGAGAAGATAGGAAAGGTGGGTACTTACTTTTGGCCCTGGTGGTCCAGGGGGCCCCACTGGACCCTGAATATGAAAAAAGATCAAGATTTTATTTCTTTTTACTTAATTAGCATGCATGCAATTGGAGCAATGCTGGCATCTGCAGTGGTACCTGAACTTTCACCTCTTGGCCTTAAAGCAAAAGTAACTGATGCACAGTTACACTGATGATCTTCAAGTCTTTATATCTATAACGGACAACACTGCCCTTTGGTACTGTGGTTAATTAAGAGCAAATTTAAACTTAAAAGCACAAACAAGTAGTTTGTTTTTACCTCTGCCTAATGGAAGCTCTTCTTCTATTACCTTAAAAAAACAACCCTTCAGCATATTTCCTGATGACAAAGGCTCCAGACATGCAGAGGTCAGCATAACTCCTCTAGTCCTGACATGAGGAAGTCCTCAGAATAGTATAATGCTGTGTTTGTAGACAGAAGTCATGGACTTTGCTGGAGCCCTCATTCATGGTTGCTGCTCTGAATGCTCTAGAGAGGAGCCTTCCTTCTTGTGATTAGATTAAACTGAGTTCAGCTATTCTATATTTGAAGCCAGTTGTGCTCAGTCCTTTTGGATGCAGACACAGTTTTGCCCATTGTCATAACACAAACACAGGCAAGGAGGAAAAACTGCCGAGATTTTCAACAATCGTGATATCTTACCTGCACACCAGGTAATCCTATAGGGCCTGCAGGGCCTGTTGGGCCTGGAAAACCTTTTGGGCCCTGTGAGAACAACACCAAACACTCAGAATGTGTAGCACATGCCCCATCACAGAATCATCAGGGTTGAAAAGGACCTCTGAGATCACCAGGTCCAACCAGCAACATCAAAAAAAGATATTTAAAAAATCAAACCCCAACCAATGACAAAGTGAGTCTCAGGAAACATTAAGTATGCCAATTTAAATGCTCTAACAATCCATTTCATATATTAGATGCATTTTGAAAATTGAAGTTATAGAGGCTCAATGGTAGAAGACAGTTTGATTTAAAAATGAAAAATATAACAGCAAAAATCTGACTCTTCCATAATGTGGATCCCCTCATACCATCAATGCAATAAAAAATGCCTCCTTCATATTCCTTAAAATCATTATTCCCTGAATTAAATAACTTACAGAAACTCCATCCAATCCAGGAAGACCATTTTCTCCCTAAGAATTATAAATGCATGAGCAAAAATTACATTATGTTATTACAGCAAACTATAAAGCATATTAAGTTTTGTATAAATAGAAGTATTTGCTGTTAGTTAGTAACAGATCCAGTGCAAATGGGAAGATATTTCAACATCTGTGCGTCCACGTTTAAATGGAGCAACAGAAAGATTCCAGAACTCTGGAGAAATTACAACAATTTATTTATTGGTACTAAGAGAAATTAAAGTGTCATGAAAAAAGCCTGTAGAAAATTGGAAAACACACTATAAAAAAATTCATTGCAAAACCACTATAAAATATGTAAAAGTATAACATTTTTATATAAAATTATTTGTATTTCCCATAAACACTGAAGTAAATAAAGATCTATTTAACTTTTACCAACTTACGAGTGTATATTATGTGGACAGAAATCAAGAAAATTTCTACATTTTGACCAACAAAGTCAGTGTGAGGGTCCTTACATGACAGAATCATTTTCTTTTTCAATATTCAATGAAACATGAGGCTGCTAAATCTTGCTAAATTTAGTATAAGAAGAGGTACTGAATCCTTTGGAGATTTATTCCAAATTTAGTACTTCTAGCAAAAATAAAAACCATGGTAAGTTGGTGAGTGTTTATTTCAAGGTGACAAAGAACCAAATCTTTTACATCAGTGTATTCAAGAATCCAGTCACTGTTCTGAACAATAAACTGAAATTGCCCATCCACAGTTTGTAATTTCTGTACAGGAAATAAAATTACAGCCATGATACAAACATTTCAGGGCAAGGTCCTTATTAAATAAGAGTAAAATCCTGACTTCACAGCAGCAAAGGACGAAATACTGTGAGTGGGATATGATATTCATGTATTTAAATCCAGAATATGACTGACTACTTAGAAGTATCTCCCAGTAGGAAAACCACTAGGAGACAGCTGGGATCTGTGAGTAGAAATCTTAACATACACAAGTTTCCTGAGCTGCTATTTCAAAAGACCTGGCACATGCAAAGATGTCAGCTACAAGAGAGCGTAGGTGAAGGGGCCCTCCTTTGCAACATCTGCATCTAGGAACAGACATGCTACCTCATTAGCTTACAAAAATTCCTCACATCTGTGGTTTGGCACCAAAAATAAGTGGCACCAGCTCTCCAGAGGCAAGTGAAGGACCAACAACTAAGCTGAGTGGTAGGACAGTGAGCCATGTCCCAGCATCCCAGTGTGGGATGGACAAGATCTCTGCAGAGACCAAGCAATTCCAAGTTGTAGAAAAACCAAGTTGTGGTCTGTTACCATTAATTAAGTTGTTATGAGGCCTTTTTCACAGCTTTGCATCCTGCCATGTCCAGGACACCCACATCTAACTTCAGCATCAGCCCTGCAACCTGTTGGACATCAGAGAGTTTCTTATACATTTTCTGCTATGTGATGACAAGTCTTACCTTCATTCCTTTAAGACTGCCCTGAACAAAAACAGGTTCTCCTTTAAGACCTTTTGGGCCAGGACGACCCTGATTAAGAAAAAAAAAAAAAAAGTAACAAAAAAATTCCTGGAGAAAATACTGATTTAGTTTTGAAATAACTTACATTCAGCTTAATGAACAAAGCAAACTCCTGGTTTCAGTGAACTGCAAAAGTACCACTCCAGCTTTGCCAAAGAAGCTATGGTATCATGAGAACTTAAGACTTCCTGCAGCTTTAGAAAAACAATGCCCTGCAAATATTTTCTCTGGTATTTTCCTGTTTATATTAGATTTCCTTTTTATTTTAGGCCTTCAACAACTTTTAAGATCCTACGTTAATCTGGCTGACATGGTGTAACCCTTCTGTTCATAAACGTACCAGTGCCATCCAGAGAGATCTTGGCAGGCTAGAGAGGTGGGCCTCTGTGAACCTCATTCATCAAGGCCAAGTGCAAGGTCCTGCACCCTGTGTTGGGACAATCCCAAACAACTCATCAAAAAAAAAAAAAAGTAAAAAAAAAATTCCTGGAGAAAATACTGATTTAGTTTTGAAATAACTTACATTCAGCTTAATGAACAAAGCAAACTCCTGGTTTCAGTGAACTGCAAAAGTACCACTCCAGCTTTGCCAAAGAAGCTATGGTATCATGAGAACTTAAGACTTCCTGCAGCTTTAGAAAAACAATGCCCTGCAAATATTTTCTCTGGTATTTTCCTGTTTATATTAGATTTCCTTTTTATTTTAGGCCTTCAACAACTTTTAAGATCCTACGTTAATCTGGCTGACATGGTGTAACCCTTCTGTTCATAAACGTACCAGTGCCATCCAGAGAGATCTTGGCAGGCTAGAGAGGTGGGCCTCTGTGAACCTCATTCATCAAGGCCAAGTGCAAGGTCCTGCACCCTGTGTTGGGACAATCCCAAACAACTCATCAGGCTGGGTGATAAGTGGATTGAGAACATCCCTGTGGAGAATGACTTGAGGGTGTTGGTGGACAAAAAGCTGGACATGAGCTGGTAATGTGTGCTTGCAGCATGCAAAGCCAACCATATCCTGGGCTGCATCAAAAGCAGCATGACAAGCAAGTCAAGGGAGGCTATTCTGTCCCTCTGCTCTGGTGAGATCCCACATGGAGATCCTCAGCACAGGAAAGACATGGACCTGTTGGATCAGGTCCAGAGGGCCATGTTGATCAGGGAGCTAGAGCACCTATCCTGTGAGGAAAGGTTAGAGAGAGTTGGGCTTGTTTAGCCTAGAGACGAGAAGGCTCCAGAGAGACCTTATAGCACCTTCCAGTACCTGAGGGGGCCTATGGGAAATATGGGGAGGGACTTTTCATCAGGGAGTGCAGTGATAGGGCAAGAGGTAATGGCATTAGATTGAAAGGGGAGATTTAGATGAGACATTAGGAAGAAATTATTTCGTGTGAGGGTTGTGAGACATTGGCCCAGGTTGCCCAGAGAAACTGCAGATGCCCCAGCCCTGAAAGTGTTCAAGGCCAGGCTGGATGGGGCTTGGAGCAACCTGGTCTAAGTGGGAAGTGTCCCTGACCATGCAGGGGGGTTAGATCTTGATGATCTTTCAGGTCTCTTTGAACTCAAATCGTTCTATGATTCTGTCTCTTGTTTAATACTGTGTATCACCAAATTTTGTTTAGAATCAATGACAGAAAAAACAGGTAGACTTCACAAATCTGCTGAAAAAGCTGTCATTACAATTCTAGATTTACCCAATTTATTTTAACCTTGATCATCCTATCCAATTTATCTGAAGTGATTTAATTTAATTGCCAACTTAATTTGAGAGGGGTTGGCTGATCCAAGCAGCTTTTCTTGCCAAAAAAATGTAACCCTACAAGCATTACAAAATAGATATTTGCGCAGCAGTACAACTGAATCAGTTGCTTCAGAAAATAGTACTTTAATTTGATCTTATTGCTTCCGTATTTTTTCAACATCATATGAATTTCAAGGCTGGATGACATGTAGAGATTTCTTAGCACAGTTTAGAAAAAAACTGCAACCTTGTAGAAAAGTGTTTTCAAAAGTAAAACACATGCCCTGGAAAGTAAATGCTATGGATACTCATTAAGACTGAACCTTTTTGGCTGTATTAAGACCTGGAGGAAGGCGCACAACATTTGGTGCACAGACTTGAACGCGTGAGAACATCCTTTCCTCAATCAGCATCCACTAACTTGAAATGTGCCAGGTGGAAGATATTTGACACTTCATGGTTCTCAAAAACTTCTGAGTTAGCTTGAATACTGCGCATAACAATGGTGTAACTTGGTGTGGGAACAAAATGAATTCTCAGTCTTTTCATTTTATCCTCAAAGATGCTGAGCTCTAATAATGATGCTAATAAACTTAAGAGTTATTAGGGTTCTTCCTAAGTACCTGAGAGTTACTTTTCCAATAATGGCATGAAAAGCAAATCCTGCTTTAGTGACTACAAAACACCATATTCAAATTGGGACCTACAGGCAGCCCAGGAAGGCCAGGAAACCCATCTGATCCAGAAACTCCAGGACTCCCAGTGGTACCATTGCATCCATCAAGGCCAGGCAGACCTCTAGGTCCAGATTGTCCAGGGTGACCCTGTGTAAAGGGAAAAAAAGACTGAACGACTGACAGGATGCATTATTTGATTAGTAATACTGTCTCTGGAAAACTGATACCTTTCAAATGGGAATACAAAACAAAAGAAACACACAACTCCCACGTATGGCAGACTGCAACAGAACTAACTTGTTTGGCCAGCATTGTTCATCCTTCCCAAAGCTGAAATTCTAGAACATTAACTGCATTCATTTAATTATCATTTTCTCCAAGGGGTAATTTTCCAAAGTACATAACTCGTGCATGAGTAGGTCCCAAAAGGGCAATACTCATCCCACAGCAGTCTGAAATACACAGCACATAACAGTGTCAAACAGCATGCAAGGGTGCACCTGACACCAGAAATGGAACTCACTCATAAAAACAAGGGCAGAGGCAGACTCAACAATACTGAGCATTTATAACTCCAAACTGCTTAAAGTTTCAGTGGCTTCTCTTCCTCTCCAGTGTGGATTCTTTCCTTTAATAGTTCAACAGATGTTACAGCTCCAGCATCAAGCCACTCAAGCAAAACAGCTCTTATTGTTATTTGAAACTTAAGGCCTTAGAGAAAGCACCTTGGAGAAAGACCTAATTAAACTAACCACATTTAAAGTAAAGTATTTGTAATGGTCAATTATTAATCAAGTAGTGCAGAAAACAATTTTACCTAATTCTGATTTCACACCTCTTTTGCTCTGGGATAGCTCTATTAAATTGACTGGAATTTATTCAGCATGCAAAGGAGACCAGTTACTTTTTCCTCAGCGTCTTACGGGTATGTGTAGGCAAAACACAGAAATGCAGCCTCACTCTATCCTCCTTTTTATAGAAATGAGTTCTGTGGCTCTCAGTGTTTTGTGGCAGGAAGAAAAATGAAACTCATGGAGCTAGTAGCAGGAACTGATAGTTCTCTCCCTCCCTTCTGTACACCATGATCTTGACTCATCCAAAAAGTACTTTTGTTTGATCCCAAAGATTCATCCTTAAGATATGGCATTGAACAAGTTATGACTCACACTAGGAAAGTAAAAAAATAAACATGGATAAAATGGAGATAAAGCAGAACATAACAATCCTTTATGCCTGACACTTAAAACAAAACACATTTGTGTTGCTAAAGGTCTTCCAAGTCCAAGCCAATAGCATATGCTCTTACCAAACTCAGTGAGAACTGTGCTGTAGTGTAAAGCTTTTTATCTCTGGATCTTAAAATGCCTTGCAAAAATGTGGTATTGTTATAATCTTCATTTTACAGATGAGAAGCTGGAGGCACACAGTAGCAGAATGACTTTCCTAAGGATGCACAGGAACTTAGGCCATAAATAAGTAAATACTAAAGTTGATCACCTGTCTCAGCCACTGTCAGGAGGGCCACTGTGCACTCTTGCTTACTAGCACTTGTGTCTTTTCCCTGAGCTGGATAAGCACAAGTGAAATAGGTCAGTTGGAGCAGGAAACCAACACAGCTGAGAAATAACTGTTCTTAATGGGGTTGATTTTAAGCCAGATGAGCTCCTCAGTCCCTTGGCAAATGTATTGTGACTTGTGTCAACAAAATTGTGAGGAGAGAGAGCCCAGATCTGCTCTCTCTCAGTCAATAAGGTACAAAGTGAATAAATGTAGTGTCTCTGCACTAGAGGATCAAGATAGCTCATCTGACAAGTATAAATTTGAGATTAAACAAGGCCTCAGGACATGGAATGAAGTAATTCCAAAGCATTAGCATCAGGCACCACTGCATACATAGCATCAGTTGCCCTGATGATTAAAGTCTGTCAAAACACCCACATGTGGTGCACAAGCAAGGACTTGCCAGACCCTAGTGAAGTGACAGAAGAGGCTGAAGCACCAGTTTACTGCCACTTAGAAATTATTCCATTTGGTTCCCAAAGCAAGAGCAAATTAGTGGCAATCCACCCCCATCCATCCATATGTAGGATATCATAGCCAAGAGCAGCAAGCCTCTGACAGATCAGGCTGTGACTGCAGAGGGAGGCCAGAGAGGTCACTGTCTATCAGGTCTTTTACTTTGTTTACAACATCAACAAAACCAGGGGCAATGTGGAACAAGTGCACATGTATCTGATTACAACATAAGGTGACCAGCTGCTAGGTTTAGTGAAGCTGAACAACCAACATCTGCCCCTCAGAGCTGGACAACAGGGAGCCAAGCTGCTGAGCCTTTAGTGCTGGCCAAGAGCCAGCCCATGGCAGGCAGCTGACTGGTGGTCTCATGTTTTGGGAAACTCTTTGGGTGAGATCTCCTAACTCTCGGCCCCAAACACTCTGTATTAGGCCCAAAGGATTTTGGTATTCTCCTAATATGTGAGAAGGGCTCAGAAAGAGAGGATGTAAAGTGTGCTGGCCACAGTGATTTCTTATGTGTGGTAAATAATTCTGTGGCCCTGTCACTTAACTCTCTGGCATCTATGCCTGTGGTTGTGAGCCAACATCACACAGACTGACACATATACACGACATCTCTTTTGCTTTATGAAAAAAATCCGAAGAGTTTCCTGATTTCTAGTTAATCTGCTATGAGAGTTCACAATGCTCTAACAGTCTTACCTGAGGTGATACTGAGCACCCACAATGGACTTGCTTGAGAGTTGTAAAATTCTGGCTTAAACAAACCTTTTACCAAAGGTTTTTAAATCCTGATTTTAAAAGCTATTTTGACCCCCCCAAAAAATAGTGGTTAATAGATTCACTACTCATACTGCCTCTAATTCCTGTTTTGGCAGATACGCCAATTCAGCACAAGCACCTCAAATGACTAAGGCAAAAGACTTTCACAGGCTTTGCTTCTACATGGCAGGGTGACTTAGATAACAGATCTGAATTAAAACACAGGCAGGAGAGATCACTTGTGCCCTCTGTTCTCACAAAAGGGGACATTCCCTGAGAGACAGATAAGGAAACTTGAACTGTTCTTTATCTAACTCTTGCTCATAAGCTAACAGTGTGATCCCAAGGGGCCTCTTTACTAAATCAAACAGCACAAAGGCAATCCCAACAGGACAACTTAAATATTTAAAAACAAGCAAACAAATGCACTACGGGTGAACATAAAACTAATTGAATAAGCAGTTTCGTGGATTGCTATGGCAAAGTGGCCTTTTTGCATTTCTTCTAGGATGGTCACAAAATGCAGAATTCTGCCTCTCCATGTAGCTCTAGCTTTCACAGTACAGAAAAGGGCTTACTTCTCATACAAGTATTTATTAGATAGTTCATGAAAACCTATATGCATCTGCTGGCTCCAGTTCCAGCCTTTGCCAGAGGTGTCCCTGAATCTTGTTGGATGGGAAAAAATAAACTTCTTGAGTAGGGCTAAGGATTTGAGGGTTTCATGTACAGGGAGACATAGAAAGGCTAGCAATAAACACATGTAGCTGCTGTATTTATTAGGTTAAAGGGATTAGTCAGGCCAGCTGCAACAACATGATTTACTTGCCACCAGCATTCCTCGAGGGAACTCTGTGGAAAACCACTTCCCTCAAGGTCAATAGTGGGATTTCCCTCTGAATTACAGCCTAGAAGCCCTTTGGCCATGACTAAAATATACCTGCCCACACTAACATACCTGCACACTACAAAGAATCTCTCTTCATATTAAGATAATAATTCTTGTGCAGGCATAGCAATATTATTTTTGCTTCTCCCTTACAGGTATCAGCACACACATACTCTCTTCCCTTTGCTCTGCATTTCACACATCCATATAATTTCCATATATTTCAGAACAAATCAAAGCTAATCCCCATCCTGCAACTGGTAACAGTGTAAGTATTTTCTCAAGCAGCACTGGCTGCTATTTTCACCCTAGAATGGAAGTATTTACCTCGATGGCTAGAATGTAAACAGTATGAATTAATTTCCCTTTTCTCTTTTTCTGTCCTGCAGTTGTGACACAGAAGAACTGCAGTGATGAGCACTTTGCTGTTTGTGAGCAGCAGAATCACCCACCTGCAGAACACTGCAAAGCCAGCAAGGTAGTTCTGCATATGCTGGAGGCTTTGCACCCTCACATCTACCTCCCCTGCTCCCTCCTTGGAGTGTCTGTTGCTGCCAACTATCTGGCAATGGCTGTTGCTGTATCTCTGCCTCTCTTCATTGTCGGGAATCCCCTTTCTCCAGCGCCTCATCTGAAAAATACCCTGAGAACAGCATGTTCCCACAGTGTGTTCAATTACATTATTATGGGAACAGCTTGTTCTTTTCAGAAGTAGAGTTGGCTGGTGGGAAAAGAAAAAAAAGAAAGCAGCAAGGGAGTAGAGCAGGAGAGAAAACAGGCAAGGATGAGAGGAGGGGGAGAGAAGGACAAGGGCCAGGAAGGAACTGAAATCAGCAAGCTCATTTACAGGGCCAACTGTGCATTTTCAGCCAATCTATCAAAACAATTCAGTTTTTGATAGGAAGTAAGAAAACACAGCTCAACTCTTGGAGCTCTGTTGGCCAGCTGAGGAAGTAGGGAAGATGAGATAGTCTGAAGGCTCAAGGACACAGAAGAGGGGAAAACGTCAAGAATAGAAAAAGAATTATAATACCAGAAGAAAAAAGCAGGATGAGCTAAAAACTGTAGAGAGAGCAAGGAGGTTTGGGGCAACTTCTAAAGCTGTCCCACCTAAAACTCCTCTGAGGTAAAGTGTCTGTAAGACATCTTTGCAAGAATCACTGGGGAAAACCAAAGCAAAAGAATGCTGGTTCAAATACTCTAGGTACATTGTATGGTAAAGGAAAAAACTGTCACTAGAATTCAAATGTTCTAAAGATTGAAACAAAAAAAAAAATCCTTGATGGTCAAGGAAAGCATTTACCTACCCCTATCACCTGGAAAATCCAGCAACTATCTCTTTCCTGTCTTAGGTTTCTGAAAGGCTCAGATCTAAACCAGAACTAGCACCTAGAGAGAAGTAAGGATTCTCTGGAGGGCCTCAGCTCTAATCACTGTTTTTGTCCATGTCATAGGAAAATAAGATTAAGGGACATCTGGTAACAGTTATCACCTAGCAGAAGGCTACCGCTAAGTAAAAGGGAACAATCTGCTCTCGGTCTGTGATGAGTAAGATGAGACCAAAGAGGGTTAAACTGCAGAAGGAAAGAGTAAAGTCAGGCATTAGCAAAGCTTTTCTAACAGAGAAGTTAAAGTCTCCATCATTACAAGGTTTTAGGAACTGATTACGAAACATACTAAAAATGTCCTGAAGCACAGCTGATCATGCCTTTTTGACTGAAGTCCCCTCAGTTCCATAAGTCTATGATTTTATGATACAGAGTTTTCTAGACATGGCGCTGGGAAAACACAGTGCTGAAAATAATGCAGTGGATTCCCATGCAACTGGGGTTCACTTCCTGATACGTACGAACTTCCTGTGGTCCCCTAACAGGATGGATCCAAACCTCTTCCAAACCAGCATAGCACCACCAAGTAGACTAACAAACACTGCCATTTCCCTTCAGAGAGAAGCAAACACTTGCACAATACACAATGCATATGTTAGGACAGCCCATTCATAAGCACAATAAGTGCTTATGTAATTGTGGTTCTGACTAACATTCTGGTGATTAATATTTAAATATGTAAACTTACTGGGATCCCATTGATGCCTTGAAATCCTGGAACTCCCATTGGGCCCTGAAGAAAAAAAAGAGTACACATTATATTTCATTTCATCAATTTGTATATTTCAGTTTCCTGTGAGATACTTTTCACTTCAACATCTTCAGTCTTGGACTTCAGATTTTAAAAAAAAGAAAAAGAAGTAAACTATCTCATACAGATTCTCTTTGGCCACAGAAGAGGCCAATGAAGATAGGAACTGAGCATCTAAGCCTGACTGGGTGCCAAATGAGTGTTTCAGGAATGTTTAATCATGCAATTTAAAGTAAAAATCTAATCTCCTACTGCACATCTGGGGAAAACAAGATGCCAGGAAAAAAAAACAATCCAGTATAAGCTTAACTTTCAGTGTCACTCTTGACCTTCCAGGAATTTCAACAGGACTTATGGGTTTTTTGTCTACCCTTGGGTAGCACCATCCAGAGATACAGAGACCACCATATTAACTTCAGACCACCCCCGGCTGAGTTGCACGTAATGATCACCTTGTTGGTTCTACTGCTCTGCTCTGAATAGTAGCAAAACATACTGTGCAAGCAGGGTATTCAGCCAAAACTGCTGCACATGAGAGTACAATTGAGCTAGTTTTCATCTAGCTACCTCACCTAGCTGGGAAAACATGGAAGACAAACTCTGCTCTACAGGTCCTGGTACCTAAACTGTCTTTTTCTTATTTGCACCCATGACCTGAGCACCTGGCATCAAATATACAGGTAAGATGCTTTTGGATAGTCCCGGATTTAAGCCCTTGTCCTGATGTCCCAGACTTCCTTCAGATTTTAGAAACTAGGCAAGCATGCTGGACTTCCTCTGCTTTTTTAGCTTGCAAGTTGTTGTCCTTGAAACATTGCTTTCCTGCAACTGCCTAGGAAGGAGAGTAGGAATCTCATCCCAGTTCTCACATCAGACAGTATCTGATCTGTTGCAGGGGAAAAAAAAGAAAAATCACTGTTGAGCCTACCTTGTCACCCTTCTGTCCAGCTGGTCCAGGGGGGCCCACTGCTCCTCTCTCACCTTTTGCTCCTGGCAAACCTTCTGGGCCAGTAAATCCAGGTGCACCTATCGGTCCTTGAAGCCCAATTGGTCCTGGTCGACCCTAATACACAACAACAAAAATAAGCCAGGGCACAATGTTCACAAAATCCTTTGCAATTACTCTATCCAACTCAGTCTTTAATACAATTTGATACCTCTCAAGGTAGCAGTAAAGACATCCTGAAGCTCTTCCTGTACATTCTCAGCTAAAGAGTGTTTAGACTGAGATAAATCATAAGTACTAGAAAGACACCTCCCCTTTTTCCTGGAAGATTTATTACTACTCATATTGCTGTAGGAAGGATCAGGGGAAGACAACAGTGTTTTTACATTAAACTGGGTTTCTTTTTGAGTTTGCACCTCTATTTCCAAGTGGCAAAGTACAAAAATATTTTCCTTATGCAAAATCAAGCAGAACAAAAGGATAACAGAAGATGCAAGAAGTGCGTGGGTCACATTCAGTCAGAAAGCCCATTTTAAGAGTATTTGCAACTACCACACTGATTCCCCTGTGCTCTCCTGGTTACCTTGCAGTCAGGGTGTGGATTTTGACTTCTTGAGCACAAAAAGAAGGGTGTAATGACAGAGCATTGCCCGAAGATGGCAGCCTTTTCTACAGCTGCGCCCATTCATACGGCACTGATGAACTTTCATTGTTCTAGCACTACCTGGATGTGCAAAGTAGCCTGGTACTTGTTTCTGAAACAAGACAATGTTTTAAAAAAATTGCTGTAGGTGCTCTGATTTTTTAATTGGTCTCAAAAGCTGCCTCTTGGCAGCTGAACACTTAACCCAGAGTTTTATATCAACATTATTGTACTTTCCATTTGGTTCATTTTGAAAGAATCTGAAAAGATCAACAGTCCCAAAGTATCAGTAGAAAATGGCAGTTTAGGGCTATGCTTTCCACTGGCAAGACAGTCAGTGGGCTACATGAAATTATTCATGCAAAGAATAAAGCCTTACATTAAAAGATAAAGAATAGAGGAAGAAGATTAACAAAAAAAATAAATAAAAAAAATCCTCCCCAGTTCTCTTCACTCATGCCCAGGGCAGTGTGTTTCTCTTCCATTTCCCTAACTCCTTGGAGCAGCAGAAGGAATGCAGCGCCCTGCTGCAAGTGTTTTAATAATCTCAGCTGGAGATATACGAAGTCCTGACTCCATGCCTTGGCAGGTAAAAGACTTCACAGTTAATTTAAAAATGCATTTTACATGTTAATAATCAAGCAAAAGGAAAGAAACTGTAATTTATTTTTTGAATTACTTTTCCAAGATAATTTTTAGTACCTGTTTAGGCAAAAACATTTCATCCTGTATTCCATGTTTCTTCACTACTGGAGCAGTTTTCTTCTAAAGTGCAGCAAGTTCCACCTGTAATTCCCCCACATCACTCTTTCTGTTGTGATTGTTTCATCCTGGCCTTTTAACTGAGGTCAAGTGCACATTTTGTATTTCATACTTTTTCTGTCTAGACACTATACGTACTGTGCACTTACAGAGGCACAGACTCCCACCTTTCTGAAAAGGCTTTCTTGTTGATTATTTTTAGCTTTCTTCACTCTGGGCTAATTATTAATGGAATCCTTTATATTGGGAACCATATGATCATAACACTAATCCTCAAATCTTCAGTGGTCCTTAGAGACCATACACTACAAGGAACATGTTGCAAAAATCACGTGCTTTGCTCTCACTTGCAGTGTCAGATTTAACTTTTTCATTTCCCACGGTCATAAGCTATTTAGAGGCAATGTCGTACTTAAAAGGCACAGGCTGTGGACTGTTCACCTCAGTTCAACACAGCAGTGGAGAAACAGCCCCTAAAAATGGGCATGTTACTGCTGTAGTCAGCCACCACCCACAAAGCCAACAGCATCCAAGATTGCACCCAGGTTTCTAGAGAAAACACACCGTGAATTCCTCACCTGTTCAAAAAACTCATGGTTTGTTATCCAATTAGTTCGATTGCTTGGTTAATGACTGTTTCACAACGACTGGAACTGATAGGAGTTAAAATTTTAGAAGGCTTTGTTTTGCTTTGCTGCAGGTCACTTCGAGCAACGTATCTTAGATGAGACAATAAAGACCAGTAACTACATGTTCTGCTTGTGTTTGGTTCTGCAGCTCTCTGACAGAAGAATTAAACATATTCTCTGTTTTCAAGGGCCCATAGGTAAAAAGCTCTCTTTTGCCTTAGTGCCTGACAAGAAAGATTTTAACAGCACTTGAAGATTTTGTCCAGTGCCTTAGAGTGTTACTAAACCATAAAGACACAGTAAAGTGCTTCTAATCTCTCTGATAATGTGATTATGCCATGATAATCAGACTCTCAAGAATTCCTGCTCCTTCTTTTGAAGTCTGTGTGGATGGAAATCATGTTTTCTATGCTGAAACACAGGACTTGCCTCCACTGCTAAAAAAGCAGCATTTTTCATCACTCAGTAGCACTCCCATGAACTGTCCTAAGATAAAAGCATTATAAAGACCAGGCACTTATTCTGAGCAATTTCAGGAGAATAACGAAGACTGAGGTTTTAGCACAAGCTAAACTTCCAGCGTTCAAAGCCGGGTGGAAGTACTGCTCGACCTGAATGAGTTTACCTTGTGGTAAAAAGAAAAGTGCCTAGTCTTTCCTGTGCTTTGGCATCAAGATTGCTCTTACTTATCCAAAGGATAAAAAGAATGCATCATCTCTTAGCAGTGAGGACAAGCTTAAACATAAAATGTGGATTACATCAAACAGAAACTACAGTGAATCAACAGAGCTCCCTATTTCAATCTTTATTGCTCAATATATATTGTCCAGTAGCCTGCAGAAAAGCCGTAAGTAATTAACACAAATGGTATCATTTTGGTTTCCTGGCTACCTGACAATCATTTTTAAAAACAAAAATTAGAGAATGCCAGTACTAACCAAGGACAAAGTCTATGAAATTACTGTGACTTGTGAATGTTTTCTCAAATGCCCAATAGAATTTCATAAATTTGAAAACCATAACCTGCCTTCTCTAACATACTTGTGCACCAGGCTTTTACTACACTAGCGGCACTAAATGAGATGCCTGTCCCTCTGTAATGAATACAATGCTGGTGAAAAAAGGACATTATTTCTTGATATACCGTGGTGTTTCCATAGATAATTTCAGGATTTTGACCAAGTTTGTGCTGCAAGTTCAATATGAGCCACATGCATCTCTGTTACACACTTCACTGCAAACCATTAAAAAATACAGAGATGTCTGAGACATTCAGGTTTCCATTCTCAATGTGTGGTAACCAAGAGGAAAAAATGGCTGGGACAGGAACCTCCCATTGCTTCTGAATCACCACTGCAGAAGGCAGTAAAACAAATTGGCCTGAAAATGTAATTTGATGGCAGTGCCTTTCAAGATAGAAAAGGTTCTGGCAAGATGTGCCTTCTTTCCTTCATCCTTTAAACTCATCTGCATCTCAGGGTGTCCTGAGGAAAGGCCAGGATGGTGAGAAATGATGGGGCCCTCTCTTAGCAATTCACTGCTACACAATCAGATATATCACAGTTTCTCTCTTGTCCCTACCCCTTTTGCCAGTTTTAATACCCCACATAAATTTTCGCCCACTGAAGCAGAGCTGCTACACATAGCACTGCAAATTCCACACATATTTTTTTTCCTATTGCATCTGTAAGCTTGAAGAATAAAGTGTAAATTTATTTGATTTGTCACTGTGCAAAGGAACATGTAGCAGTGGTATGGAGCTACTGGACATGCCCCTTATTTCACAGACAGAATACAAGTACTTCCTCACTTGGGGGACAGTTCTACTAACCATAGTCACTATCAAGTATTAGCTCAGTGACTCAACACAAGAGGGATACTGGAACTCAAAGTCAGATAGGTTCAGTAGGAGTAGTAACTAAGGCAGAATACTGCTGATAAGGTAGGACAGAACTGATCCCTACTTCAGTTAGTAAATTTGTAGGCTGCCATATTTCAAGCAGCAAAATTAAGATCCATTGTATGAAAAAAGGAACTGAATTTAAAGATGTTAACATTTTGTCAAATTAACGCATACTTCCTTCTCTATGAGAATTAAATGAACACATTTTTAAAAAATAATTATTCACACTTTCTATTTTTCATCCATAATTTCCCCCATAACCAGTTTTATCAGCACAAAAAAATTGCTAGTGACAAAGATTTACTCCATGAGGTAATGCTTTGTAGCCTGAAGCATCTTGCACTCAGTTGATTACATTAAGGCAAACCAAAGAGCCAACTGTTAAAATCATTATGGCCCTAAAAATAACATTCTTATGAACTACATACACTAAGAACAATCTAACCTGAAACTTTCAAGGAAGGTCTATGTATGTGATTCATAGAATCACAGACTGGTTTGGGTTGGAAGGGACCTTAAAGATCATGTAGTTCCACTCTGTGGCATGGACAGGGACATCTCCCTCCAGACCAGGTTGCTCAGAGCCCCATCCAGCCTGCCCTTGAACACTTCCAGGGCTGGGGCATCCACAGTTTCCCTAGAGAACCTGTGCCACTGTTTCATCACCCTCACACTGAATAATTTCTTTCTAATATGACACACAACTCACACAGAACTCAGATGAAGTGTCCATAGGTGACTCACTGCTGCAAGGCAGCAGTGTCCATAGGTCAGTGAGCAGCATGACCTTGGCGTAACCACTTCTACTTTCTACCTCCATTTCCTTCCTTCTCCTTTTCGTTCCGTGCTGCCTTTGCTGCAAGATTCCTGCAGGAGTGGTTATCTCCTGCTAGGTGGATAGTGCCTGGCACAAGGGAGTCCTGGTCTCAATTGGGGCCCCACAGTTCTACTGTAAAATAATAACTACTGATGAAAAACCCTTCACTATTTTCCCAAATTACAGGTCAGGTATCCAGTGCCCTACTCACATACCAGAGAAAGTAATTATTCTCCCTACTGAAAAATGCTTTGTACTTTTAAAGAAATTATTCTCCAACTTTTTCTTCTAAAAAAATAGGGAAAGTCTTATTCAGACCGGTTTCTTTATTTCTGTCATAGAATTTATTGTTTCTCTACACAG